AGGATTGAAACAAGCATGCCTACAGCTGTGTAAAATAATGGGAGTAAGTAAATAGTGCAATAGTAAAGGTGACCCCTTTTGCTATAAAATCTTGACTGTTCCTCCAAGGAAGATCTATTTTGGACTTGATTCTATGATCATGTGTAGGAACCACATATTGTTATTTTTGTGAGTAAAAGGTAAACACTATAAACACAAGGAATTAGCATTTGTTTAAAAAATATATCCTTGTTGTGAAGACTTTGTTCGTGGTATAACTACTAATTATAAACTGTGTCATTTTCTGGTGATTCTGACTTCATAAAGTAATGACAAAGTAGCCTGTTTCAGGTGTTCAGATAGTGGGGATGAAGTAAAGAAAAGAGATAAGAACAACAAGTTAAAGGGGCTGTGTCATAGCTGTTTAGTTTTTTTTATGATAACGCCAATTACGCGTCCTTATTGGCTATGAAATGTGTGAAATAACTTGTGAATTTGCCACTTGCACGTCTCCCATAAGCCACCTTATTTGCCCCCCAAAATTTTGCATAAGCAGACATGGGCATCATTGTCATTCGTCCTCCCTGGCTGTGATGCAAATTCCTCGCAGAGCTGACGGTCGTGCTCATCTACTGGTCATAAACAAAGGTGCTGGACAGTTCTTTCTGAGCTTCGATACAAGGTAGCTTACAATCCCAATACCTTTTTTTTGAATTGGAGGCAACGTAGAGCAGAAAAAGCCGTTTGGGATGCATTGCAATACATCAAAATGTATGTAGCAGGAGTTTGAACCAAAACTGCAAAGGGATATTTTAAAAATGTCGAGAACAAGTCATTCGACGTCAGAGCAAGGTTTGGAGCAATTTATAGTGCTTCTAAAACTAAAAAGTACCTTTTAAAGAATAGCACGACAGGCAATCGGCTTTTGTTTTCAGAATTAGGAAGCACTGAATTTACTTGTCCCGAAAATTCGAACTGGTGGCTCTTTCTACCTCAGTGATAGTAATTTATTTTTGAAATTCCAAAACAATTTCACAGCTGAATTTTGAGCGACTGTCATATCTATCAGTCTCGCTTGCGTAAGCAGCGAGACTCATAATCTGCAACGCGTTTTTCGCCCGGGGGCGGGGGGGAGTCCCTTATATAGGGTATATAGGTATGTGCCGAGCCAAAGTATATGGTCAGGGGTACCCAGCGTCAATTTTCGAAAAATATCTGTTCGGAAGACGATTTGAGATCTAGAATTTTCGGAACATTTTTTGTAAAATTTCTTGCTTGCCCGCCTCTCCTAGGATTTTCGAACATCTAAAAAGTGGTATATTTAATTGCCCATTTTTAACGGATTTTTACCCTAAAAGGTCACCAAGAATTTTCGGAAGCCTTTTTTCTGGCTGAAATTTTCCAAAAGGTAAGTTTTGATCCTTATAATTTTCGGATCACTAGACTTTCAGCTAGGAAATCCGAGGAGATGAAAAATTTTTAGGGGATAAAACATATGCCTATATCTACCGTTTAAATTCTAAAATACGTTTAACAATGCTATTGATTAACCGGCTCCTGATTCTCGTTGGGTGCCCCTGTATGGTTTTTTCAGCCGTTTTGGTCCGAAATAGGGTATCAATTTCGACCATCTTGGTCTGAAATAGGGTATGGTTTGTGCACTCTAGTCTTGAATTGGGTATGTTTTTTTAGAAGAATTAGCTACTTCTTCATCATTTGGCGATAAGACCATTTCCGCCAACTACTGTGTACGTGCCGTAATAGCTTGTCACGCGCTCCGGACACCCGCCGGGCTCCAGGGCTTCAGTCTGAAATAGAGTAGGGAAAATCACATATTTTGGTCTGAAATAGGGTAAGGGTTTCAGGTTGGCGTGCCCCTACCCAATTTTTTGGGAAGTACCCCCCTCCCCCTGAATTTTTGATCGTATTTAGGACACAAAAGGGAGGTCATTGTGTCAGGCGTTCCTTACGGAGACCGTGGAAACAGTTGCTTACAGCTTGATCGCTGTTGTCTCGCTGGCTGGAAATTTTCTCATCGTATTAATTGTTTACAAAACACGAACTTTGAAAAAACCAGTCAATATGTTGAAATATGCTGATCGCAAACATGGCCATCTCAGATCTGCTCTATCCAATATTCAGCGTCCTTGTTAGGGCCTGTTTACATGGAGGTGGGGGACCCCAGGTGGGTGAGGTAACCTGCTTTAATGGGTGGGGTAACCCACCTGTCCATATAATCTCTCCTTTTAATTTGATCACGTTTACATGATAGGTGGGGTGACCATATAAGAGATTACATGTACAGGCGGGTTACCCCACCCAAGCGTGTTACCTCACCTACCTGGGGCCCCCCACCTCCATGTAAAAAGGCCCTTAAACTGGCCAAATTGCAACGCAGCACGTGGCCTCAGCAATGGTGGTATCCTTTGTCAGACCCTGTGCAAGCTACACGCTCTCCTTTCAGACGCTTCCACGTTCGTGTCAATTCAATGCCTGGTTCTGATAACAGTGGCCATAATTGTTTGCATTCAAAGTTGTTGAATATCCAGAAGGAATGTTGTCTGTACTTCAGTGGGAGGAGGACTTCGGAAAGAAAAGCTCTTATGCACGTCCTAGCAGCAATTATCGTTTTATTTTACATCCCTGTCAGTGTCCTCTTGAATGAATAACCCTTTTAATATCTTACTGTACCATATGTAATGAGGATATTGCTGTTTCAGATCATTTCAGAGCAAATAACGTGACGTAGCCAATACTGGAGGGTCAAGTTGGCTCTCTGAAACCATTTTATTGTCTCACTACAGTTAGAAATAGTTGTCCAATATTTCGGCGCTTTACAGAGACAGAATCATCTAATGAAATTTCAACAAATGAGCAGGTTAGTTACAACGCTTATTGGGAGAAGTTCATTCAACGTTTTGGTATGGGTCCTTTTATTGGATTTTAATTGACAATTTTAAAAATTGATCAGTCGGCGGTTTTGAAGGAACTATATATTACAGCTTTCCTTACATAATAATTTGCCTCAGTTTGCTAATCAATGACAGGATACAAAGTTAATAGCTTTAAAAGTAACTTAACAACCTTACACCGAAACCCATGCAGACAGGAGGAATTATTAGTTGCCTACAATTAAAACATAGTGGTGCCGCCAAAGTGTAGTCGATGGGAGAATGCAAAACATATAATCATTATTTAAACAGTAGGTAATCTGGGGGTAAGCAAGGGCTGTTTTATAGGTCAAATGTAATTCAGTCTAATTTAATTCACACTAAATTCGTCGATACGTCGACGTGAAGTGCTGTCCAATTTAGACGACGAATTTAATTTCACTTGCTCGGTATTTTTGTACCACTGAACTAAGTAACACGGCGTGGTTTACGAAGCGATAGCCTTTTGCACAACCAATTGCAAAAATGTTGCGACACTCCGACGAAAACCAACCTTTCTTACTTTTGGGCTAGGATACAAAGCCCTGCACAGCTGTAAAATGGTCATGAAGGTATGAACAGATGAAAAAATCATATAAACTAATCGTATTAATTGTAAAATGGTCAATTAAAAATGCCATATTGGGAGTATTTTCTCAACTTTTCGATATGGGTCCACCTGTTGAATTTAGATTGACAATTTTAAAAATCTTTCAATCATTTAAGAGGAACTATCATTTTAGCTTTACTTAGAAAATACTTTGCCTCAGTTTACTACTCATGATCAATAACAGGATAGGAAGTGTAATTGGATCAATTTAGGTGTCTAGGAAACTGACCACCCACCCCTTCCCCTACGTCAACATTATCACTGACTTTCCACTTAGGACAAACTGTTGGCTTAGGGGAGAGATAGGTGGGCAGTTTCCTAGAACCCTAAATTGATCCATATTATTTGCTAATAATTAAACATGGTGCTGGCGCCAAAGTGCTATCGATGGTAGAATATCAGAAATATATCACCATTATTTGAACATGCGGTAGGTGTTTTTCAGAGAAAGCCAAACAATTCAATTTTCATGTTAGATTTTCCCCGGTGGGAAATATTGTCAGTTTTGAAAAGGCTGTCTGTGGTCTGACCTTAAAACTATAAACTTCATTGTCTTTTCGATACACCGTTGCCGACTTTGTCCTAGTTAGGCCCTGTAAGTTATGACAAGGATCGAAGCCTGAGAAGGTCTTAAAACTTTTACGCCAAGTTTGTAACTCCTGCACAGTTGTTAAGCTACTGATTTGAGCTCTCGTTGAAGTGTTTTCTGGACAAATCGGTTCAATTAGCGGCAAAATTTTGACAGTATTTTCCGACTTTGCCATTGCCATCGAAATCTCGGTAACTTGAGTTTCTCGTGCGGTACGTTGAACTGAATTGCTGTCTTCGAAACTAGCATTGTTCTGTTTGCTCTCTTTAGCTTTATCTTCAGAAGACACTCCTCCTTCGGTTCTGTCATGCTCATCGTCTTCTCTGATTAGGCTTAGTGCATCCAACTGTTTTACAAATTCATTTCGATGATTAGAACTGTAAGTCTCACCTTGGTTCACCTCGTTACCTCTTTCCTGATAGTCTACTATACTTCCATCGAGTTTTTGTGACCCTTGTTTCATAAGCAACTGAGCTTTAAATTGATTGTTGCCCGTTTCTTTATCCCAGCTCTCATCGTTTGCTTTGGAAAGCTCTTCGTTTTCTCCTTATCCATAATTAATTTGTTTTTCTTCTTATGAGTTAAAAATTGAAGCATTTTGGAGTTTTCTGAGAGTTTAGTTGGCAATCTAGGACAAGTCTGGCTGTCTTGAAACAAAGACGGGAGTTTGATGTTGGTTTCCATGGCAACAGGCTGCGCGGTAAAGAAAAATGACGTCGCCTGCAGTGTTCCTTTCCTCTTTTCTTTTCCATCCACTGTTTGTGGACGATAAATTCCCAGAGATTTTTGTCGGTCAACTATCTTGAGCCTACGAGCTCTTATGAGGCTCATTTCAAAGCAGAAATACCTTTCTCGCATCTTCTTTTCCATCTCGATCCGTTTGACCTCCAAGTTTAAAATAATCTGATGTTTTCTGTTTGCCTTGATCACAGTTGCTTCGCAATCTTGATGGGTGTTTCGTGCATGCATCATTGCTAACAGCGGCGTGTTCAAGAGCTAGAAAGTTTCTGGTCGAGTTTAACAAATGATCAGTTTTAAATTAATACTGGCACTGATCAATGCAAATAAACAGACAGGCTATTTACTCTGTGTTCAAACCTTCTGTAACCCACTAAAAGAGAGCCAGTGTTTATGTAGTATGCCAATGCACTTGATTTCTTGGAATATCTGAGTTCTCTGTCGTGGTATTGCTTAAATCCGGCACACTGGAGTTTGTTTTCTGGTTATCGAAAAATTAGTTTTCATTTATTAGCCCGCTCATCTTTTCGCCATATATAGCCGCTTGTTTTGGTTGCGGCGCAAACAAACTGTTAATCCAATAAAAGTTTGAATAAAAGTTTGAATAACTCCAAGAACTCCGAGACGTTGACAAGCCAAAAGCGACTTCAAGCGATAAAATCACTTATGTCTAAGGCTGCTTGATTTCAGAGATCCACACAAAGAAGTACTCTCCCTCGCTTAGATATATTTGTGGACTTCTGAATAATCTTCCTTTTTTGTTTGAGTTCTCTTCTCAAAATGACGCAATAAAGAATCAACAAAAACAAACTTTGACCTCTTTAGTAGACTTCTTAACGTGGGTCTCTGTAAAATGTTTCCTTTCCTGCAGTTATGCTTGCAGGGCGCGCTAACCAACCGCTCTCAACACTGTAGTAACCACTTATGCGAACTTGTCCTCTGTGGCACAAAAGGGAGCTAAACAAAGTTCGTCCAGCTTTGGGTATAGCTGTCACTGTCCCAACTGCTTCAGCCCAACAACCCGATAACCAAATAAATGGCACTTCTTCGCTGGGTTCCTCGTGGATTAAGTCGCTTGTATCGTTAACGCTTCTGTTTTAACAATGCCAGAGTCACTGATTTCTTTCTATTTGCAGCTAAGCAGCTTCTGATTATCCAAGTTGTTTGATCAATGCATTACATCCTCTTGTGTTCACAAATTATATATACATGCCGTGCCCCTTACCTATTAAGGTCCCCCGCCAGTTTTCATTAAATAGCAGTCGAATACTTATTAGTATAAACACATAGTACGTGATCTTGCGGCCTCTTATGATAACACAGAACTCTAGTAAGAATAATTGGTTGGTTTGCGAAATGAACTGATATGTTCCCAAGAGTATAGCAAACGATAATGATACTCAAATATTACACCATTTACATGCAAATAAAGCCTAACGCTTCCTTTTGTTTACTTGCCTTATTTAAGTAATCCTCTAATAAGATGCGGTCTTTGTGCAGTGCCAGAAGCTTGATATTACGTTCATTTCTTTTATAGATCTCGAGGATGACGAGCAACAGATAATTACAGGCATATGCAAAAGAAAGCAAATGAACAAGGCATTTTAATGGAACTTCAAACAAACTGGCTTAGCTATTTTTTAAACAATTCGTTGCGAAATCAGCCGAATTTGGGGCTAAGTGGTCCTGCATTGCCAGCCACAATGTGTCCGAGACGTCATGTGTTTAATGCCCGACGGGGACTCAGCTCATTTTCTTTTTTCCCACGCTTATACCATAATGAGTTTTATATCCTTGTAGCTAACAATTAAAAATCCCGTCCCGAAAGTGCTCCCATCTGTAGATTTTGTTCTGCTCTATTCCTTCGGACCAGAAATCTAGAGCTGGAAGCCTTACGGCTAAGGATCACTTTTAAAATCCCTCACTTGATCAAGTAAACTCAGCACCACCCCTTACCTCCGAGTCCCCGACGGGGACTCAGCTCATTTTCCTTTTTCCCACGCTTATCCCATAATGAGTTTTATATCCTTGTAGCCAACAATTAAAAATCCCATCCCGAAAGTGTTCCCATCTGTAGATTTTGTTCTGCTCTATTCCTTCGGACCAGAAATCTAGAGCTGGAAGCCTTACGGCTAAGGATCACTTTTAAAATCCCTCACTTGATCAAGTAAACTCAGCACCAACCCTTACCTCCGAGTCCCCAGCGGGGGGGGTTAGTACTGTTAGTAGATATAAGACTATAAGACCTACATACGCGGAAACTAAGGCCGTATAAACTAGGTTCGTTTGTGGATTTGTTTTCTTTATGGTAATCATTCTTTCACTTTAAATGGTGTTGCCTAACTACTCTAAGGATCTGGTTCATTCTTTAACGAAAAGAACCCAGTTATTGTTTCATCTCTTTCTTGCACCCTTTCCTTTAATTAATTTATGAGCTGAAATGAGACACTAGCTTCAAACATCAGCTAACAACCTCAACAACAACAAGCTTATTTTCACGAATCTAACAAGTACAGTATTATTGCAAAATCTATTCATGATTACTAATTAAATCAGTTCTGTTGGCTCAAAAACGCAGAATCTGTAGGGGGGACCTTAGTTGGATCTAGGGGCTCCTTTGTTTGACTCTTTTGCTGTTTGTTTCAAAATCATTGTCAAACTTTCCGCTGCCACAGCAGCACAGTTACTTTTAATATTAATTTATAATTAGAGTTCTTATAGGGAAGCCTTAGTCTACGAGCCCAATGCCGGGTTTCTCTCGGGCCTTCTTAACAGTTTTTAATCTGTATCCTTCTTTCTTTTCTTTGTTTCTAATTCATCGTGCGTGCGCTAAGTTATAAGATTAATGATGATTGGCATATCCTTTTTTTGGACTGTAGGCCGTCATGATCATTCTCAGAGCCTGCTGATTATCATCCCCCTCCAACAAGTCAAACTCTGACGGTTAGTTATCAAAGGTTTTAACTTAGGCCGCGGTTTAAGAAATCATTAGACCTCCAGATCTCCTCCTCAGTGGATTAATTTAAGAAAATGAGTGCTTTTCCAGTCTACGCCATATGCTTTATTAAAATTGTTCACGACAAAATGGTGTTTAGATAAAAGCGTTGGGCAAACTGAAAATGACTTAGAACGCGGTTTGACACTGGCTAAAACTCCGTTTAATAACCGGGCCTAAGATTCTTGAAATTCCTAACTTACTGCACATGAGCTCACGGCGAATAATACTAAATTAGATATATTTGTCAATAAACCTTGGTCACGTGCTACGAATTGACGTTTGCTGTTCGCCTTCAGGACGTGATCCATCTCTTCAATCATCCGCCTCTCTTACGTAGGCTTGACTAGTATGTCAGTTTTATTTTGGTGCGCATAGTATTCGTCAAACCTGTTTTAAAATCTTAATCATAATTATTTTTTCAGTTCTCTTTTGTGCCTGTAACAGTAGTAAACAATGCCCAACGAAAAACTTAAAAGTCTGTCATTGTATGATGAAATTTTAGTCGATTTAGTTGATATAGTGTTATCGTTAATTGAGCTATTAATTGGACCATTAAAGTCTGTTCACAATTGGCATTGTATTCTTCTTTTTCTAACTTCACAAAAGAGCTCATTTGTCCAAGAACTTATCTGGTCTTAACAAAAATTGATCTCGAAAGTCAGGCATATATGAAAGCTTCCAACCATAGTAAGCCTTGTTAAAATGATATTGTTCATGTCGTTTCAGTGCACAGTTTTCCTTCCCTACCTATTAAGAAAACTGATTTTTCGTTACACTGCGTAAGTGCTAAACAGGTGTTAACTAGTATTCTAATTACGTTCCTGGAATCAAACGCATTTTTAAGTCAATAGATAATTACCCTGACTTCTCAATGCTTAAAGTTCCTGTTCGTTGTACAGCTTGCTTGTTTAGCAAGTACTGAAAGTACTGCTGAAAATCTGGTTTGCCTTATTTATCATATTTTTAAAAGGACATCTTCCAGGATCGATTATGCAAAGAAGGACTATCAAGGACATTTCTGTTGAAGGTTTTCTGCGAAAGAAACCAAGCAATCGAGTGGTAAGAACGAATAATTATTGCTTTGTTTGTTAAAAAAAATGTTCAAACGTGACTCGAGGCATTTTTTTCTTACGTTGTAGGTTTATTCAATCAGCGTTACATGGTCGGATAAATCTGCCAATGTTATCTATCGAAGATACAGCGAAGTTAAAGAACTTGAGGTGAAGATGAACATATAAAATGGTACTGGCTCCACGAGTGTACTGAGCGGAATAGACAGTTGATACATCAGAAGTTGTTTAATAAATAGAGTTGTTTATTGATTGAATTGTTAGCCTGTTCCAGGCGTTCGGATAGTGGAGTGCGCTGTCCCCACGATCTGAAGGCCTGGAACAGGCATGAACAGGCTATTGAATTGTTCGATAAGTTTTCTTTACAATGTCTTTGGTTTGGACCAGAATGCTCGTGAGATCGTGGACAGCAGTTTTCCGGCAGAGCATTAAATTTTTTCTTGGTACAGCCTGGGGGAAACCCGTTAATACGATCGCCACTGTGGGCAATTAACCCTGATTACATAACGTGTGGCTGTATTAAAGAGTTTTTTAGAGCATAAGATGAGTGACTGTCTTGAAAATTGGCTCAAAATAGTGCAGGTCGCAATAACGAGGCGTTTTTCAGTTTGAAAGAGGTGGGCGTTAAGCCGAAGTCCCCTATGTACTGTTATGTAACGTAATTTAACTTACTTGTGTTACGTTGTTTCTTCTCAATAATACAGCTTTCTCTCCTGGAAGAGTTTCCAAGCTATAAGAAAGAAATAATTTCGTCTTCACTCCAAGGTTAGTAGAGACGAGTAATGATGACAATTTGCATCATTTAGATCATCAATCACATTGCACGTATTTAACCCATGTGATTAGGGTGAATATAATACAGAAATGTTCTACTTTTTAAAGACCTTTTTCGTTTTGTAACGCTAATGACTGGACACTGAAAGGCTGCATTTCATTTAGCAGTTATGCGCTTATAAAGAGGCAATGGCGTTTTGCACGTCCACATTAAAAAGGGTAGCTTAAACGGGGAACGATTTGTTAAAAAGTTCTACGTACGAGTGGACAAAATTAAAAGCTCCATGCAAACGGAAGCAACAATGTTAACCAACATCTCCCAACATTTTTGGATGTTACATGTTACATTGAATCCAGCGGCGTTTAGACACCTTGTTACATGTTCCTGCGAGTTGTTGCGTGTTGCTGCGTGTTGTTTCTGCGTGTTCCTGCGTGTTGTTGCGTGTCGCTGCCTGTTGCTCCTGCGCGTTCCTGCGTGTTGTTGCGTGTCGCTGCCTGTTGCTCCTGCGCGTCCCTGCGTGTTGTTGCGTGTCGCTGCCTGTTGCTCCTGCGCGTTCCTGCGTGTTGTTGCGTGTCGCTGCCTGTTGCTCCTGCGCGTTCCTGCGTGTTGTTGGGAGTTATTGCTCAAAGTTTGAAACCGGTTAAACTTTTGATCCAACGACTCCCACCATTTCTTTTTTTCCGTACATGATTTTTTTCGTTCATGATTGTTGAAGCGGGGTGTTTCTTAGAGTTGCGGAAACCATTGCTGATTCACTTTTGTGTTTGAGATGTGGGTATTGTTCAGCATCTTTTCAATCTTTTGTATTACGTCTGTTATACTACCACATGGGAAATTTCTGCAAACTGATTGGCTTAGAGCAGTAATATTTCAGCTTAATTTGAAATACCTACATGTGAAAATTACAAACCGTTTGCGGGTAGTAGTATAAACAAATAATAGCTTGATTTGTACGTGATATTCGGCATAAATACCACTCGTAATATTTCAAAATTGTCACAAATTTCACTCGCCTAACAGCTCGTGAAATTACGTATAACAATTTCGAAATATCACTCGTGGTATTTAAGCTAAATATCACTACAAATCATGCTATTACCTATACAAATACTAAAAAACATCCCCGAAGCGTAGCGTAACAGTGTTAGATCCGTTTACACAGCTCCTTCCACATTTTTGGGGCAAAGCAAGCGCGAAGGTTTTCCGAATCATTCACGTGTGTAAAGTATTGTCGATCGAATTATTTTAATTCATCAATATTGATGGCATAATGGACTGCAATTCTTAACATTGTCATTCTTGGGAGTTGTTGCTCAGCCGTTTGCACACCACTGCCAACGCTTTCCGTTATGTTCATTACTGAAGTTAAATGATATGCCGAAAAAGGTTTTGCATGGTTTCTTCTTCTCACTCTCCTTATTTTCATGTTCCCCCATTTCTTTCCTTCGTAAGAAGATTCTTGTGACATTCTCTCACGGCATACATTGGTTCATATCTTTGTTATAACTTAACTAAGTCAGTGACCGGTGCTTAGCTCTCAAGATGAGAAGGGATCATTGGAGAAAATAGAAGAGGGATTTTCATTCGAATGTCAGCACTTTGTTAAAATTCAGCAGCAAGCAGCATCACTGTCTCTTCCTAGGGCCCTGTTTTCTTGCCCTCTTATTTTCCAAACCATAGCTACATTTTGTTCCGCTAATTTTTGAAAACATTTCTAACCTTCTGTTTTAGAGAGGAGAAAGATTAACCCAACAAGTGTTCGAAAAAAGGAGGAAAAAATCAAGAATTTTATATCAGTAAGTTAGCAAGTCCAAGCTCATTACTTCTTTTGAGATCTACAAATTCAAAACACGAGGCTGTGAGAAATGAAAATGTTCACATTTGTTGGCGCTTAAGGCTGTGTTTACACTATATCGGATAACTAGTGCGCTGCCACGAAAATCATACAGGATAGGGATTCTGCTCACACACGAGAACGGTTGTGGCGCCTCAATTTTTGTGACAGAGAGAAGTTGCGACGCGCACATCTCTAAGGCGGAGGGTAACATATCGGATAGGAGTTTTATACGGTATAGAGTGAACGTAGTCTAATTGTTGGACTTTTAACTACATTTAAACAGTTGCTGGCAGAGTGGGCACTTCTCGTGAAATTCAGTGTTATTTATTACTTTAAAGAAGCTGATGGCTTTGCCTGAAGAAATTTCACAGTCACAACCGGTGATAAGATTGTTTACCCCAAGAATTGAGGATTTAGAGTGGCAAGAATCTGACCGCACTAAGTAAGTTAAATTTTTTGATTATGTGTGTGAAGGTGTTCATAAAGGACCTTTGTGCTCTTCGTTTATTTATTCAAACACGAGAAAAAGTGTCTCACCTAATCAAAACAACGAGAGGTGTTTAAAAAGGCAAGACGCAACAGGAACGGACGTCCATGAGAGAGCATTATTCTTCTGATCAGGCACAATTAAAAGAAAGGTCTTGTAGCCTCTTAAGCTATCCCGTCAACCAAAGCCGGGCAGGAAGTGGGGGATATTTTTAACATTTTAGAAGGAAAAAGAAATCTTTCTGACCATTTGAGGCTTCCGCCAATATCATGTTAGGCGGAATATCATAAAACTAGGATCCTAGGCAATTAAGCTGTAAAATGGCGATAACATTTTTTCAGTCTTGGAATAGCCTGCGAGCAAGCTCTCCTGGACGCTCTGGCAGCGGGGAGGAAAAGGAGGGAGAGTTTGCAAATACGTCTCTCTCTGGAATTTGAATTCCCCTGTGGCTCCCCGTCGAGTGAGCTGTCAGATTTCTGCCAATCAGCGCGAAGCGGAAACGAGCGCGAATGAAAACAAACATTGAAAAACACGTGCCAAGGGTAGTGACGTCATTACTAATGTCATTTCCGTCCAACCAGCTTTGCGCATCGAATTTTTCTATGCAGATATTCAAAATCCGGTGACGTAGTTGCAAGCTCTCTCTTTCCTTTCCCGCCACTCCGCCAGAACGCCACGGAGAGCTTGCTCGCAGGCTAGTCTTGGAAGATCAGTCACTCAGATTAGATGGCCTTTGAAGGCTAGGAGAATGGTCAATTATTTAACACTCCCCCCTCTGATGTGTAACCCAGGTGCATAAAGCAACTTCATTTAGATTAAGCGGGAAGAATTTCTGCTGTTTTCACCGGTGCTGCCCATGCACTCTTTTGTCGACCTTTACGAGCCTTGAAATCCCACTCCTCCTGAAGAAATTATATGAAACATTCCTGTACTTAATAATTTGCCCGCAGGGATCAAAAAAAGGCGAAGTCCAAATCAAGGCGGTATTTCGTCAGAAAGATTTCAGCTAGGAGGAAATCTTTAAAAGAAGGTAAGAAAGATTATGTCGATTCAGAATTTTTCCCTGGGAGTGTACAGAAAACGCACCGCGAGAACTGTCTTTTGGCGGTAACTGACAGGTCTGACAGTCTTTGCAAAAGTAACCATAAGAATTCTGTAAGGTCAGATAATTCAATAATAAAACTCTTAATAAACTAGTTGTTGATCTGAATGGTCAATAAGCCGCCATATCATATTATATTGGCCATCTATAAGGCAAGCAATGATGTCACTGACTGTGAAGGTTCTTAATATGTTGGGTGCGTTTCGATCCGTCTCTTGTGATTGTAACATCTTTCAGTGTCTGGCCAGCTAAATTTGTCGGTTTTTGAAGACATCTTCTATCTTCTTCTTATAGTCTAGCAAAAAATACGCGCAGCTCAATGTATACTACGGAGATGCTAAGTGGTCTTAGTGGCTTGAGCACAGTTTAGTTGTAGTAAATTTTCTTATCTAGATTGCAAGGGGCTATGTCATGCACTATTATTAACCACAACAAAATAAGCTTTTAATTTGAAAGAAAAGCCTTTTTATGAACCAAATACCTAAAAAGGCGATTTCCAATTAGACGTCACACTCCCATTTTACGCTTATAACTTGGTAATGTTTCGTTTCTTTCCGTTTTTTTTTATTCTCAGGCAACATTGGGGAGCCTGCGCTTCTGGAGCAATATATGGTTCTCAAGAATTACAAGAAGCAGTACCACAACGACATCAAACTTACTAATGGTTTCACAGTGGATGTTATTGAAAAGCATGAAAGTGGTAAGGATTTTTTTAAAATTGTAATCATAAGAGAGAAATAACTTCCTTTAACAAACAAGTTAAATCATGTACGCAGAAATGCTCTTTATTGACTTTAGAGCTGTCTTCTTATTATCCTCTTATCCGAGACTGGACCTTAAGCAAATCGTTGCGGACATCACAACTAACCTGCTCTGCCTAGATATGTAAATAGTCAATTAAGTACTTGTCTGGTTGTGTTCTTTATTGCAGGCTGGTGGCTTGTAGATTGCGATGGTGATATAGGATGGGTACCAGCTTCATTTATGCAGCCTACAGCCAGTGGAACTAACAATAATGACGACGACATCATTACTGAGTCTTTTCCTCCTGGACGAGGTAGGATTTCACTAATAATTCACCTTGTAGGACAAAAACGGTATCACTGAAAAGCCCCGCAGGGGAGTGTACAATAAAATTCTCACTCTTACTCTTTCCTTTACTCTATATCTCGTGCTGTAGAGGGTAAGTGGGTGGGATAACAGTAGAATTTAAGTATCTGTCCAAAATCTGCCTTTTCATATATGGATAAAACAACTTGAGAGCTGAGTCGACCAAAGCCGGCATCGACATGCGCATGAGTCCATCGCGGCAACCGCCGCAATGCCAAGGACGACCACCTACCCATTATGCAATGCGCACATCTCTGAGAGGTTGAGCTAGTCTCGTTCAAACAAATCAGTATAAGGCTAGCGCCCTGTCAAAACAATACAGCCAAGCTTGAATAATAAGAGGCTACAGGCAGACTACTTATAAATGCTTGGCATACAAGCTAAGACGTCGACTAAGTCCAAAAAGGAAAAGGGCTATATATTTGTGTTAACTTTAACAAATCGATAACAATTTTCCTCGGACTGTACTCTTATCGACTATAGAAATGACTTCAAAACTTTTAAAACTCAAGTGGAACCACGAGCCACAGACGAGTGGTTTCACAGCAAAGTTTTCAACATTTTGACTTCATTTCTATGGTCGATAAGAGTACAGACCTTGGAAAATTGTTGTCGATTTGTTTTTTACAACAGCATTTACAGTTTTTGACGTCCATTTAGGTTGCAGTTTCTCGGGAAATCTTGCGCGAAGAAAGAGAAAAACAAATTGCGCCACCATCACGTCATTGCCACTGTCTGTACTCTTATCGACCATAGCTCTCGACCAATCACCGCGCGAGAAATCGCTCGGTTATTGTAACATATGACTTGGAATAAAAAGATACCATTTATATCAAAAGTACCATCATCATTCCATGTCTCTTATTCTTTCCTTTTTTTTCCTTCTATTACGCAGGCGAACTGCACATGACAACTCAGTCGTACGAGGCAAAGAATGAGGACGAACTAAGCTTTGACATAGGCGTGCACCTTGAAGTGATCGAAAAAACCCTGGATGGGTGGTGGAGAGCAATGTAAGAATGATTAAAATTGCACTAACAGGCTAATCTTTACTCTAAACAGAAACTCGATCTTTAAAGCGTACCCAAGGCATTGAAATAAAGTATTAAAATAGCTAAGGGAGGTTCCCCCCGATCTCTCTTATTCGCTTTCGTCTTTCATTTTACATGCCCCGACATTTTTTTCCAGTTTTTCTTCACTTTCATATTCTTGCTTCGCTTTGAAGTGCTTATTTTAACCTTAACCCATGCAACAGACAACTGTATTGAAACTTTGCGTAAGCAAATCGCCTACCGCAATACATAAAAGAGACATTCAGTTTGGTTAACACGACAGAAACAGAGTGATCATAATCAACACGAGCTGAAAAATAAGGGTCAGGCAGTATTTACTTTAACCTTGTCTTTTGCAAACATGAGTTTAAAGGAAGGCAAGTAAACATGCAATATGACATACTCGTCTCTTTTAACTATCTCTAATTATCGATCTTTATCAGTTATATGGATAAGGAGGGCCTAGCACCTGCTTTGTACCTGAAGAGGCTTGGTTCCGCAGCCGGCGCTGCCCAAGTGGGTTTACGGCGAAAGTCTGGCATGAGCATGTGGCTTAGAGAGAACACAGGCGACATTGATGAGACTCATTCACCCAACGGAGTCATGGCTGGTACATCAAACCGTAAGTAATAAGTGATTGGATAGTTTGCTTTCATGAAATAGCAGAGACTAATATTGAAAAACTAGTTCGTGTCCCAAGTGACCATAATAATCATTCTAAGAGGAGTAAGTTATCTGCCTCAACCCCACAGAAGAAGTTAAATTCTTAGATATGGAATGTCTAGTCAGTGCAGGGAGGAATCTATACATTTCCTACTGCTTGTGTCTTAAATATCGTCGGCGCCGAATGATATAAGAAAACGCGAATAACAGTTAATGCCTATATATCTCTTGTAAAAAGTTTAGCACGATTTAACTGTTTTGATTTCAGTTTTAGTACCTGTCTGGAATGGATCTCGACGACACAGTTCAAGTGAGGTAAGCCCTGATTAGCTGGCCAGGTAGCTTAGTCTTGAGTTTGATTTCTAGAGAAGGTGTAATACTCAGGGTCTTGAAGAAGTTGGTATTAAAAAGATTAAGCACCACGGCAGAGGTAACCACTTGAACTGTTTTTCCCGCCATTTATAAATGTAAAGAGGTTGGTTACACGTTATTGGAAAACGCGAGTAACAAAAGGAATTCAGTTTTTATCGCTGCTGAATACATTAGGCCACCTCCCAAAATAGGGTATATAATTTAGTACGAGTCTGTCCTAAACAGGGTCATAAAATTGAGGGTTTTGTCCTTAACAGTTTGTGTATTTTAGGAATTTTTTGTCCTAAACAGGGCCAGGGCTTCAATTTAGTCGAGTTTTTAAACATTAGGGTTCGTGGCCTTATAATTCTGTTTTAATGCTGTTTTATTTCATTTTGCACCTAAAAAAAGTGAGTCCAACGCAATGTCAAATTACATACCGCAGAATGCTGACTATTCAGATTATTCCAACGTTAAACTTCTTTATATCCTAGGTGGAGCTGTTTTCATCAGCAGAAAAGGTCCGAGAAACCAGAGCGTCAAATCGTCGTTCAATGAGTTATAATGATATAAGAGACGCGCTGCCCAATCGCGGGCTCTATATTTCAGAGCAAGACCTGCGCGTTGCAGATCTTCAAGAAAAAGGAAGCTGTAAGAAACAAAGTCGCTCATTAAGCTTTACGTCAGTGGGCCTCAAGGAGTTTGCAAGCAAAAAGAAAGCAGAAGAACAGTTCTGTAAATCTTTAACCTCATTAAACTTTAGGAAAAGTTCTACCCAGTCCGAGCGTGGTTTTCTCAAAGCAGAGGTTAAGGACGAAAAACACCGTCCACGCAGTCCCTCCTTTAGTTTTTTCTCGAGGAATATCAAGGACCTTTCTAATAAAGGAAAGCGGGCGGAAAATGTTGCAGCTGAAATTAGTGACACCGTAGATGCCACCAACAATATCGCATCGTTTCTAGAATTACCAACGAGACCTTTGGTATCAAGCCCAATTGTGAGAAGACGTTCTTCTGCGTTAAGCCCAGTCCAGAAGTTGAAAAATGAATCTTATGAAGAACCCAGCATGAAGTTGTGTCCCCTGCCGAAAATTTGTATAACGCCATCCCATAGTGATACAGAAGATGTCCCAGTTACTTCGTGCATGCAGGGTGATGAAGAATGCCAAACGTTAGTTGATTTTTTTAGTGAGAACTTGGTCATTCAGGTTGATAGAGGAGACGAGAAGAGAAATGATACCCCAGATGAAGAGTTTCGAAATAAGCGGTTGCATGAATTGAAAGCCTGTGAGAATATGAAGAAACACGATAAACATCATTCAACAGAGAAACAACAACAAGTAAGCAAGCGTTCCGATATTCAAGAAATAAAAGCTGAGGAACCGTTTGAGGATTTTTGTGAAATAAGAGAGCTAAAGAAAGGAATACATGGAATGCAGCTCAGTAAAAGGAAGGAAGACATTGACGTGGTAGGTCAGAGGAGAAGCACCGCTGATGATGAGAGAGACCTGGAGACTCCTGTTCAAGCAGAGAAGTTTTTATTGAACGAAGCAAGAAATTCAGGTTCGAAAGATTCATTCCAGGCAAATCACATCACCTATTACGCTGTCAGCCCGTACGAAGCTCGGGAACCCTGGGAAATAACACTCTACAAAGGGGATGAGGTAAAAGTGGAAAAGAAAGCTCGCAGTGGATGGTGGTTAGTACGAGTAAATGAAGTTGTTGGATGGGCACCTTCTAATTTCCTGGCTGACGTAACAAGCACATATCAGAATGAGGATAGCCCTGTAAATGATGAATCAGGCGTCAATCAAGGAAGAAAGCAGCCAGACTGTGATGGCAGTGAGTACGAAAGCAGTGATGGTAGCGAAGATGACAATGTTGATCGTGGCGTCGATTATGATGCTGCTGTTTGCGCTGATGATGATGATGATGATGATGATGATGATGATGATGATGGTAGTGAGTACGATGATGGCGGTAAATACGAAGGCGACTACGATGATGTATACGATAATCATGACGATAAGAATAGCAATGACAGCGATAGATATGACGATGATGATGATGATGATGATGATGATGATGATGATGCTGATAATGATGATAACGTCTTTGATAGCAGTAAGTTTTAGGAACGATTTTATGTTTTACTCGGTTCCGTACTTTTCCAGTGGAAATAACCTTTCAACATAAAAATTGTCTGTAGTATCACTTTCACATATATTTTTTATGTATCATGCGGCATTTAGCATATGGAGCCAACAAGGAAGCTCTTAAAACGAGTTGTTTAATTAGCTAACAGTAGTTTAATGACCCAAGAAACTTCCCTAAAAACACGAACAGAGGTGTTGTCTGCAAAGGCCAGTGACCATGTTAGTGAAAAAGGTGTAAACTGCATTGCTCAAACGTTCGCCGGCAATTCATGTGGTATGGGCTATTTTCATCTTGATTGCATTTAAAAGCATTTTCTGCAGTTTGTGGTCTCTAGTCTAATCAGTAAGGGTAGGTGCGTGTAAAAATATTGCCAAAAATAATAAGAAAAGCTTTAGTTCTGTGATTGTGTATTCCACCTTTTTTTAAACCCAGCCCTGTTCGAATTGTCTCAGTTTTTGTAATGTCAGTTTATATTTGCACGATTTGAGTTGTATGTGTGTTTTATTAAATCAATTCAACCCGCTAAATATTCTTAATATGTTTTGAATCGTGAACAAAACCCTTAAAATTTCATGACTGAATATTACTCATCTGTTAAGTCCTGTGTTTTTGAATTTGTTTCAGGAAGAGCACACATTCGGAGGTTGGCCGCCTGGAAGCAGCGACAATTTTCGGCTGTAAGTGTAAAACAGCCAATAGAGGATATCCATTGCGTTTTTACCTCTAAATTGTGTAATTATTATAATCGGACCCGCTAGACACTAGAAGGGTTCTTTCCCTGCGAATAGGGAGCAAATCCTGATAGCGTCCCTGTTTTCGATGCCTGCCCCTGCACAACCCTTTTTTCAGGACCGAGAACTGGTATCTATTTTGTGCCGTAGCTGATTTACCAGACTGAACATGCAGTAAAATCTCTTTTCCAACCTTCCTTCCTGTCCGACGCAATTAAAATTTGAAATTTTACCAGCCATAGACAGTAAAAAATTCGAGAAAAACACGTAGTGTACAAACTGATCTGAGATATGCGTTACTGACCTTGCTTGAGGTTAAGATGGCTGGATAAAAAGTCCTTTTACATTTTTATGAACACTGCCCACGTACTCCTCCCCTAAGCCAACATTAACACTTCCTTCTCACTTAGGGCAAAATGTTGGTTTAGGGGAAGGGGTAGGTGGGCAGTTTCCCTGAAACGTATAATAAGCCAATATCTAGTCTCTACATTGACTGAACGGTGGCAAGTTAGGTCAATAAAGGATTTTTTATATGGTCAACGAGGCAACTTTTTCTTAGCGCGAACAACGCGGGAAATCCCTATTGGGTAACATTAAGGCAAATCTTAACCACTTGGCAGCTAGCCAATCCGCCAGCACGGGAGTCGCCTCATACTGCTCTTTCGGGCCAGTGCTAAGCTGTGCTAATAGAATTTCTTTCATCAATTTTAACCCTTTAACCCCTAAAAGTGACCAAAATTGAGAAAAACTTCAATTTCCCAGCTCCTCAATTTAAAAAAGGAGGTATTGGTGCCATATACTCATAGAAAAGTATTGAAGTTATATTTAAATCGCCACCCTATTTTAAAGAGTCATTTCCACGGATTATGCTGTGTACCTACTAATTATTCATTCTGAGTTCCCAGTCCTATGCATTCGTTTCAAATACATCGTGACGTTTATTAGGGCCACGAAAAATACGAATGAAAATATGTCGTCTTGTCAGTCCATTGTAATGGTTATTGATATATATATTTATCCAACTTTCAAAGGTTCAAAAGCGAGGAAGTTTGGTCGACTCCTACAAGGAAACACGTGCCTCGAAATGGGCCCCTGGTAACCACTTTTGGCTTGAGCCAACAAGTTACAGGGGCCGTACTGTCATCAGAAGCTCATCCGAGACAGAGAGTTCCTCTAACAATAGTACGAGGCAAAGAAGAAGAGATAGTAGACAATACAGAGCCTTCTTCGATAACAATCTACGCTATAGGAAGAGAGGATTGAGTCAGGGGAGACGCCGTTTCGACTCGTTCAGACCAAACAGGGAGGAAGGTTTTATGCTTCCTGAAGCCAAGGATTATTCAGCCTCTAAAGGGAAGGGTGGCAAGAAAAGATCTCCGTTAATAAAACAGCAAAGAGTGGCTTCATATGATTCCGGATATCCCGCAGAAGACGAGAGAAGAAAGGGAATCAAGACGATTAAACAGTCTGTCTCGCAAGGTAGTGCTATGGTCAGCAATAAGATGCGGCATCCGGCATTATGCAGAAAATGTCGAACTCTCACTACAGATGGTTATGCTGTCGGAAATTGGTTTACACCGGATTTGAATGCCTGTGAATATTCAGATGACGAGGTGTTTGACGATATCAGGCGAAGTGATTCTTGGTGCGGTGATTTTGAAGTTCCCCCGTATAATCTTCGAGAGAGGAGGGAAACGAGGGCAAGAACAAATTGTCACGAAAATCGATATAAACCCAAAGCCACCCCAAACAACTCAGGACACCTCACTCGAGAACGCAGACATAGAAGTGCTTATCAAGCCATGGCCATGTATCAAGCTATGTCGGAAAACGAGATTGATCTTTATGAAGGAGATAAAGTAAAAGTTATCCGTAAAAGCAGGAGCGGTTGGTGGTACGTGAATATTGATCATGAAGAAGGCTGGGCACCGTCAAACTTCCTGAAACCAATTCCGTGGTGTGGCAAATAATCTTGAGGCTGTTCCAGGGGCCACCCGGTATCGGTGTGGAAGGACCATACCCGAATGACTAGAAAACTTGTACCTATTATCCAAACGCTTGCCATCACATGGCAATGACATTATAGAATAAGTCGCTATTTTCGTTTAACTTAATAATGACGTCCGAGAACGTCGAAACGTCGTCATATTAACGTTTGATAAAATTTTTTAAAATATTTTTAAGCAATATTCTATCACTATTTTTATAGCCATTTTTTGAATCGCTTCTCTATAATTCAGTTTACTGGTACAAAAGTAAGTTTTCAAATTTTTTCATGCACAGTGACGGATTTCCTCACCTGCGAAGGGTCACTTATTAAACAATTTACTCATACTCTTTAATCTTATTTGTGAATAGTCAGTTGAAAAGTTTTCATTTTACTTTTATAGCCCCCGTTGAAGGTTTGTCTTTCAAACCGAAATATCGGGGAAATATAATTCACCATTTAATTTTTGTTTTCTTTATTTTTTCTATCACTCTGCCTGCCGTAATAAAGTATCAGTTTACTGTTCTAATTATAAAATTTGTTATAGAAGATTTTACTGATCCAGGTCTACTTAAGATCCGGCTGACCACCACTGGTTTGTTGTTGTGATTTTGTCTTTACAAGACTAGTGTTTCTTTCAGACAGTAGCAGTTCATGGAAGTCTTTCAGGTCAATTATTTCCAGGCAAGAACATTAATATTCCAATACGTGCCATCTACTATCACGTGCTTAAACCCGTTATTCATGCATACGTCTGGCTGATAGCAACAATATCAGTGTCGACATACATGCAACAACCCTGGGGTTGGGGAGAAGGGGTGATTGGTTTTAAGCCTCAAGGACACTCATTTGGATGAGGCTCAAGCTTTATAATTTTTCTGCACTGTTTTCTACTGGCCCCACTGAAAACCACTATCTTTTTCACTCAAGATGTTATCACATGACAAGTCATGTGACCGAACAGGACAAACACCATATGCGTTAGCGCATACCTTTGCACGTGAACACCATTCTGTAAAAATCACGTGCTTACTGTCATTAAAACAAATTACCAGTTCCACTGATAAAGAAGACCGACTGAGAAATTTGTGTGGGTGGGGATACGAAAAAATTAAAATAAGTCTTCTAACAAATACTGACTGAAAGTGCTAAGTTCAGACGGTTTGATTCACTTCAGTCAGTTAGCAACACTGACGCAAGACTTTGCTAAGAACACTGTCCGTTAAATTAAGCAATAGAGCAATACATTGCGTGCTCTTTGGTATTGTGCACAAATAAACGCATTGTGTTTTTGAGTATTATATTTACTAGTTAATTATGCAAAGTAAAAGACATGTACGAAATAAGCTACAATAATATATCAATGTTACCAACATTGTGGTTTGTGTCAGAAGACCCCAGCTAAACCGCTCAAGGTCACAGGGGCTAAGCTGCGAGTTCTCTTGATGCTCGCCTTAAGAATGATTATATGGCTTAAAATTGACGATAACAGAGCACCTTTAGTAACGCTAGAGCGATTAAACCTTCGTGCTGTTACCATGATTATGGATACTTCTGTCGTGTTTTCACAATAGCAAACTAATAACATCAATATCTGATTAGCATGACAGTACATCCCTACCCATGATTAGTCTCTTTGTATATCTCTTCTTTTTGACGTGCGTGAGGATATTGATTCACGCAAACAATTGAAAGTAAATATTTATGCTGACGCACGCGAGGTTCCATAAAAATTTTTCATACTGACAGAAAAACTCTCCTAATCAGTCACAAAAAAATCAAATAACTTTTTATGTTGTTTCGGTATGCTTCTTTTAAACTGATTAATCCCATGAGAGTCTCAGGACACTATCCGTGCACCAATCAAAAGAATGAATGGCATTGCCATATCAGGCGTTTCCCTTACTGTTTTTTTTTTCAGAGAGGCGAAGACGAATTTCATTTTAATCGAAGAATTAGAAATGCATGCCTTAAATTAAGCCCTGTTTATGCTGTGAATTTGTGCCATTGCTTCGTTGATTATCAGTCGAATTGTTCAGTCAAGCAGAGATAGGACGAATGGTTTTGTTTTGTTTATGAGGAGCTTTGAATGTCTTCGCCACAAGATCTTTCCGCATGCCTTGTTTTAATATTGCTACTCAAAGACCGCGGTTACTTTACTTAATCGAAGTGAATATAAAATTGACTGAAACTGTCGCGCAAAGACTTCATGGACAATCAGCAGTCGTTCGGTATGGAGTTCAGGAGTGTGAAAGAGGCTTCCGTTGAAGGGGTTCAGCGAAGAACAAAACCAAAGAAACACTTCGTAAGTTTTACGTTATTTGTGTCTTGTAACTGATCAAACTTTGAATATTTGAGATTGACAGGAAATAATTCTTGGTGCTTTAAAATCCGTTGTAACCGAAGAATTAATCGTCTACCAAAAGTAAAGAGAATTCCCTGGTTGAGTATTGACTTGCGTTCGACAAAACTGGTGTCCAGAGATTATTCCGTAAATTCCTTTCAAGTTTTAACACGACTACTTTACCCGTTGGTAGTATTTACATCGCCGTTTGACCCTAGTTTAAGAAAATAGTCGAGTTTAAATTAGAGACGGAAAGGCTGTTTAAGATGTTATTTCAAAGACGGAAAACACGTCTCGGTAGTTTGCAAGGGACATCATTCTTTCCGTAGGAAAACGCGATGAAATTGTTACGACAACTGTCTCAAATACTCACTAGGGAAAAGGAACGAAAAAGCGGATTTTGCTTGCTTGAAATACAGCTTTAAATTTAGAAAAACTAATTCTTGCTTAACGTTTTGAAGATAGTTTCAAGACGGTTTTACCTGTCCTCAGCCGCCCCGTAAACTCAGACGTGATCAGTGTAAATTTTCACCTAATGTATCAATACTGTATATCAATAACAGAGGTTAGGAGAATAACAGAGATGATCACCATCAGTGAGCCGCATCAGTGATATTTAGAACCGTGAGAGGGAATACGTGAGCTAAGTTATTAATCACTAAGAATAGCTTCACTAAGATTCGTTCAAAGTGATGCGCTTTTCCAAAAATGCGCTTCATCACTGTTAGGCTACTGAAATGAAGAACTCGACGATTTATCATATCAAAAGGCTGGAGGGAGCGTCGACGCCCGTTTTTTAAACGGTACATCGAAGTAAATGCAAAATTGATAATACTTTTGTTACCACTTTATTAAACTGTGTTTCTTCGCTCGAAAATGACGTCGAGGTTCAAGTATTTACAAGGCTTGATTCATATGCATTTGAATTTCTAATTACCGAAACCAGAATTTACAATTTTGTTTATTCAATCACAATCCACTTCAATAATGCTAATTTTACTATTTTGTAAATAACGATAATGAGTTAAAGGATACAATGTAAAATCACGTATTCCGGTAGCTTCAATAAAAAACCGGTGTCATGATGTTCAATGCTAAGAGACTCATGTCACAGACTTTTTAGAAACAACCCGAGAAACATAATCTTTTGAACAAAATATTGACAAAAATGAGTACCATAGTTTTTACATTCCAGATACCTTATTATTTCGTAAAAAGATGTTTTTTAAAAAAAAAATTGCTAAAGGATTTTTCAAACAGTGCAAAGGGCGATCCTTATACAATTATAATTTTAGTTATTTGTGTATTTTTGATATGTAATTGAACCGTTGAACGTTTTGACTGCTAGGTTCATACTGACCGAGTTTTCAGCGGCCAGAACTCAGCTTCAAATCGGCCAAATTACCAAGACAAGCTGTTAAAGCGCTTTGATCGCTCCCTACTCGTATTCCAGGAGTTGATTATTGAACAAAACACGTGTCTTTTCATTTGTCTAGATGTTTTGCGTGAAGGCTACATGGTCTGATGGAACTGTCAACTTGGTTTATCGAAGGTACAGCGAATTTTTACACTTGCAGGTAAGCTATTCAAAATTATAGGGGCCTGTAAGTAGCAGAGCGGGGCATGCGCAGTTTTTCAAACGTATCTACAATGTTTTGCGCTCGAACCACAGCTTTTCAGTGTAGAAATACACCACCACCCTGTAAGGATAAAACCTCCATCTTGTCTGTAAAACGCACATGATAAGCAACCCGTACTTTCAAGTACAGTGGAACCTCGATATAACGATCCTCTATGTAATGAAGTTCTCGGTATAACGAATGATTTTCTTCACCCCGGTAATAGTAAAATATATGGAAAAGAACCTCGATATAACGAAACTTCGTTATCAATGGCGAACTTGCCAGTCCCTTCACCCTTCGTTATATCGAGGGTCCTCTGTAGTAGATAATATTGAGCCAGGTTGTACTTGACAATCTGAAGAAATTGAGAAACGATTCAACAATCTTTTTGACCGACAAATCATTGTGGAGGATGCTGCTTAAATCTGTTACAAATTAATACGCTTTGTTGAATCTTAAGAACAAGCCCAGCCAATGATATGCACTGCCAGATGTGCGTAAATCAAAACGTACACGGGTAGAAGACAGTGAGTTTTGTCAGTTCTCAGTCACTGAGTTACGAGTTCTTAAGGGGCACCCAACGAGAATTGTTGTTAAAAGTATTTTAGTATTTAAACGGTAGATATAGGCATATTTTTATCCCCTAAAAATTTTTCATCTGTTCGGATTTCCTAACTGAAAGTTTGGTGATCCGAAAATTATAGGGATCAAAACTTACCTTTTCGAAATTTCATCCAGAAAAAAGGCTCCAGAAAATTCTAGGTGATTTTTCTAGGATAAAAATCCGTTAAAAATGGACAATTGTACCATCTTTTAGATGTTCGAAAATCCTAGGAGAGGCAGACAAGCAAGAGATTTTACAACAAATGTTCCGAAAATTCTAGATCTCAAGTCGTCTTCAGAACAGATATTTTCCGAAAACTGACTTTGGGTGCCTCTGGTTCTTCTTATCTGTTCTGAAATCCCTCTACAGAATCTTTTAAATGTTGTTTAATGCACCGCAAACTATATTTGGTGGTGACCTACTTTGGAAGACAGGAGCTACAAGACAAAAAAGATCTAAAACCCTTGGCTAAAAACCAACCACAGTTGTCTGTCTGACAAAGAGACTGTATTTGTATCTGTACACATCACACCAACCACCGTTTTCACCTTTGCCTCATTCACAGAGACAAATAAATCAGCAAAGCAATATTCTATCACTATTAGAGCTATTCCTTAACACCTTGAAGATTTTATTCATAGTGAAGTCAGACAGAGGAAATATAAAACTGTTATAAACTTTCCCGCCTTCTCACAATAAAGCAAGAGCTAGTGGTTGGTCTATAGCCCCATGGCACTAAAACGAAGGTAATTCCGGCAACCCATTTCCTCTGGATTGGCATGAGTTACTTAATGTTGTTCAATTTATTGCGGTGATCTAAAGAAAAGTGTTTCATCCTGGATTTCGGTCAATTCATCACGTTTTCTATCGGTACCCCAAAAAAGCCCTCTCGAATTTAGAAAGGCTAACCAGAAAACAGTGGTTAAGTTTTAAAACAACACAAAAGCCAGTATCATAGCTGCGTGTGCTTGCATTCGTGCCCGTTGATGACAGCCCACTTACACATAAAACAGACGCGAATAGTGAATATCATTTCTTTAAGAAGGCTATGCCACAACCTTTCTTCTAGATCATTAACGTAGGATCCTCTAAGGAGTCCTTTAGTAAGGCGCCATAATTCATATAACCTTTTTTGTTCCTTTATGTGCCTGATAAGTTTATTGCTCTTTTGTTTATGTCTGTATCCGTTGGTTGAACACATCCTTCCGTTTTGAATTGATCTTTAACGTTGAAAGAGCACTTGTAAGTATTGGCTCATAAAACGAAATGTCTTGGAACAACTACAAGTGATTTTCAAAAACAATAACTGATAAGAATAAGATCACTTGAATAGCTGTTAATAGAACATTAAAAGAATGTTATTTTTCCATTAATCTTTTTTTAATAGATTAATAAAATTATTCTAGGGAGCTTGAAAGCTGTGCCGATTTAGAGACACATTTTTCACGCGTCAAGTTGGTTTTGCCCCTTGCAGAATCTAGATTTACAAAGTCTGGTCCGACAAAGCTTCAGATTACCTGACTTGAAACACGATTGAAGATACAAGCAGTTCAAATTAAAAAATAACTTGAAATCATAAGCAGAAACTTATTAACATGTGTAAATACGTAAACTGGGAGGGCCTATATCGTCAGTTACTAACGTAGTCTTGGTAATTAACTGCGTCAAAGATTGTTTAAGGTTACTATCAGAAATTACGGTCAAACATACGGCTAATTTTATCTGCTTTTATGAACTGTTTTTTGAAATTGTTGTGAAGAATATATATTATTTTAACTGTTTGTCTTTTATTGCCATACGGACTATTTATGCGGGTCAGGAAAGGTATTCCGCTCATCAATACAGTCGCCTCTCTTTGCTCACCTGTCGAAAGCGGGAGGTTTCACGGGAAAAAATCAGTAACAATGAGCGCTTTAGTCCTGCATACGTTTGAGAATAGCAAGTAGGGCAACAGGATTCGGGTGACCATTTCAAAGAATTCAAAAGTTTACGTTTAAAGAAATAAACTCTCACGACCGCTATTTGGAATAGCTCGAAATACGAACTTTAGTTTCGCCAGGCGTCTTTACTTGGCTGGATCTTACGACGATAGAGTAGACTATTAACTGAACGCAAAATAGTCCAACAAAGAAAAATTCAAGGGATGAGGGATTGAAACCCTTGTTCACGGTTTGCTGAGACTGTGTCCGCTGATTCTACTGCCTTGTAAATATCAAGTCCATTGGTTTGAAATAGCGCAACAGGAAAAAACTAAACGAAATTTTTAACGAAAGAAACTGCAGCAATGCATTTGGCTTTTGCTCTCAGGATTAAGCGAAAATATCAATGAGCTGCAAGAAAAAGCTGGTAACCCTCCCCCCACCCCGACTGAATAATCGTCTTATTCTTTGTCATTCAAAGTTTACACATCACCCATAACGCAACTTGTTTTGCCCCCCTCCGCCCAAATTTTGCATAAACTTGGTTATAACAGTCCTACCAAACGAAAAAACTCAAAGACTGGGGTAAACAAAAGTCACTGGAAGGGATTGTTGGTTGAGACATCGAGTCACTGGAAGGGTTATGGTTGAAGTACCGGTATTTACCTTTTTCTTTGAAATCTGACGAGTTTTTGAATGAAATCAAATGGCACGGCCCTATCATTCCATGCAAATTTTTCTTCCTTTTCATTTGCCAAGAGCCCATCACGTGACCTGCAAATAACTGCCAACAAAAAATTATCTGCTCATGCGCAATGTCGTTGAACTGTATTTGGCTCAAAATAATTTTCTACTCATTTGTAAATGAAATTAAACCACGCTTTTCTTCTTTCTGAGATCACTCTTGCGTGAAAATGAAAGCGTCCCGAAGATATTCATGAAAAAGCAAACTCGGTGATCGAATGATTAAACACTTACTGAACTTTGTTATCGCAAAATATCATGATTTGCCAGTGTCCCGTTCATCAATTATTTGCCTCCTTCGGTCTCGGTAAATGACTGACCTGCTCGCCACTGACAAATCACGATATTTTTCTCAACCTCGTCCAATAATTGTTAGCAGTCAATAAAGCTAGAAGTTACCATTTCATTCCTTGTTGGTGTTCATTCCTTACTTAAACAGGAGATACTTTCCTTGCATTTTCCTAGACTATTTTGTACCAAGCGTTTCCTGAGTCCCTTGGCAGGCCTGGCGCAACATGCTCAAAACATAATCACTTCACTCCACTTCCAGGTGAGTCGCAATAAAAATTCGTTTTCCCGCTGGCCTATCCTTCAGCCATTTTATCGGAAATTCATCTCATCAATTCCTTTGTAAGTGAACCTATATTAAAAATCAATCAAAGTTATATTAGAAAGTGCTACAGAACTTTTCAAAGCAAATATATAAGCTTCTTATTAATTCTTTGGAATTCATAGCGACTGTTTCCTAAGTTTTGTTTTGCTGTGCTAATATTGTACCTTTTAGATACGCTTTCTACCCGCATGAATGTTGGTGAAGCTATATTTAGGAGAATGGAGCAAGTCAACTGTTTCTTGAAGGTAAGGAGTAGGTGGCGACTTCGCGTACCGCTAAAGAGCCGAAATAGACCACCATCAAAAATTATCAGAACTGTAGCCCTCTGACAGAAGCACTCGGCATCTTCTTGGTTGTCGGCCAGGACGGGTGGGTGATGAAGCCAGCACTCCGCCCTTCAAGCCATTTGTGATGGGGAGTAGGACTGGCATGAGCGTATCGCCCAACCTTTATCGACCTGACGCCTATGGCAATGTGCGCCGCACTAGAAATCTGGAATATTCGAAGCAATGCGACGCTTAATTTGAAGGCAGTATGATTGAAACTCCCCTAGGTGGTGGCGTTGTTTCTTGAGAGAGCGATGTTATGATATTTTGCAGATTCTGTTTGTCTTTTCATTTTGCACGCCTTTTCTTTAAAGTTACAATGAAAAAAATGGGTAGTGCATCATGTAAGCTTTCATTTTTTTTAATTTGGCAATGCTAATATGACTGACTGAAAGGGTTTATAGTCCTTCAAAGCTAATTTTTGTTTGTTGTATTTTTTATTATTATTTTCTGGTTCAAGTTGAACAAGTTTGGTTGTTGCCTTTTCTTGTTGTAGGAGATTGTGGCGCTTGACACTAAAGTGGCACAGTCAAAGCATATCAAGAGTTTTTTGACCCCAAGACCGGAAGACTTAGAACCAGATCCGAAACGCCAGCCCGCTCGGTAAGTAAAAAGATAAGGCATGAAACCATTATATTCAAAGAATCCAGAACAGTTTATGAAAAAAAAATGTTGGTCACAGTATTTCGTCCATTGATCAAAGAAATAAGCCACGAAAGCTCGTCAAAATCCTTGGCAACGTTACAGTTAAAAAGAAGCGGCTTTTTCTGAACATCTGTGTCGTCTAGCCATAAAAAATTGCGAAAAAACGTTTTTACCAAACATTTAGGAAATTTTTTAAAAATTTTAAAAAATACACGGTGAATGTTCTATGAATACAAGAAAAACAATCTTAAGTTCATCAAAAAGAAAACAAATATATAAAATTTGGTTCAAGTTAAAGATAAGAACGATAGCAACAACGGCAACGAACATGTTGGAATGCAAAAAAGGTGCTAACTTTTCTATTGTCTGTACTTACTTCTGATTGGCTTAAACAGCAAAAGTTAACAAAACTTCATAAAGCAGTACATATATTCATCCTTACTTTCCAACCATCTTCCATATAACAAAATCTGGTCTCAGTTTGAATAACAAAGAAATCCTAAGTGGGGAACATGTAAAATTGTAAACTTTTCTTATAGGACATTCGTACTGTATTTTTTTACATAATAATGACGTCCGAGAACGTCGAAACGTCGTGTATGTTTTAACTTCTTAAAAATTTCCTTAATGTTTTTAAGAAAAGTTTTTCGCAATTTTTTGTAGCTAAATGTTACAGTTACAATAAAGGTGGCAAGACACATAATTACCCAACAATAGTCATGGGAAACTGAAACTGACTTCAACATCAGTGCATGTTACCTTAAGTTTGCATGCCTAATATTTGTTTGACTGTAAGACAGTTCTCCTGTTTTGTTTATATTTTACGGAAATTTAGCGGAAAGAAAAATAGAGGCAGAAGAAGAAGTAGTAACTTTTCGCAGACAATGAAAGGACGATTGCAAAAGTTTGGAAAGACGACCAGAATATGTAAGTGATATTTTTGACTGTTTTACCTTTTCTGAGAATACAAAGTTACGATTCATTCTCTCTTGGTTTGAGATTTATCTCTACATCTGGCACAAACAGGCTAAAAAAGATATCTATGTCGTCCAGCTCTGCCAGATTAAAATGGCTCGAGGAGCGCGAAAGATTGTTAGTTCAACTGCTTCTCTGGGAATAGGGAAGATAAAATTAAGGTCTTATCAAGGTAAGGCTTTACATCAGTTTACTCTACTTATTGTTTGAAGTAACCATTATAATTTATTTTCCAGTCGGCAACAACATAAGTTCGCCTATTGTTCTGGAACATTTCGTTGTTATGGAAGACTATAAAAAACAAGCCAAGACTGATATTAATTTGAAGAAAGGAAAAATTGTGGACGTCATCGAGAAGAGAGAATGCGGTGAGTTATTCTAAAAATTTAGTATGTTACAAATATCACTTACTGTATATGAATAAATAAATATTCAAATAACAAACTTGTTGCCTTTCAGTTTAAGTTGGGCTTAAAACCACACGAGCTATGAGGAATCTGGTCATGGACAGGCTCTCTATTCCCCTAAACAATAACTAAGCAACGTTAAAAACTCCTTGAACGTGGAATAACTCTCGAACTTAGAACCACAACTTTACAATTAAATATTAATAATAATCATGACAATATGTATATAAAAACATTAACACACATTTCTTTAAGTTAATAGTTCAAGCTTATGTATTTATTATTATTGTTATTATTGTTATTATCATTACTTGATTATTATTACGTACTATTACCATTTAAAAGGAGTAAGCCGAATTTTCGCATTATTCGAAAATGACAAGATTTTGCGAAAGTATTCTATGCTTTATGCTGAAAATGGAGCTTTTTCATTTAGGCTGATGACTTGTTTTGCTGTTTGTATTCAAAGAAAGTTGAGAGAACTGGATTTTTAAACATACATTTACCACAAGTCACATCTCCTTCAGTCTAAACCTATTGAGGTATCTCAGTATAACACTGAATAATCAAGTTGAGTATCATAAATTGACTTTACAGGTTGGTGGCTGGTAGATGCTGATGGTGAAGTGGGTTGGGCTCCAGCTCTGTATCTCGAACCAGCAGACGAAATGTCGGACACTGAAGTATCAAACGTACAAAGATTCCCTATTAGCAAGGGTACGTATATCATATCACAGAAAAATAATACTTTCTACCATTTCTTTCAAGGGACTCATTGCTTTTACGAAACGATGGAAAACTCTACATGACCAACTTTTAGCAAGGAAACAACAGCGGATTATCAAAGTTGGATAGGATACAATCAGCCCTCTGGTAGAAACCTATCCAAGTAAAAGTGTATTTGAATCAAACCTCTTTTAAATCATTGTTAACCCCTCCCTTAACATACGTATAGACCTTTTTTGGATCTCAACTCTTAGATTTGCCCAAGAGTCTTGTTATAAAGGGCTTTGAACTTAATCTTCATTTACACAGGAGAAGTATTCGTCACCACCAAACGTTATGTCGCTGTTGAAGATGATGAGTTGTCGTTTGATATCGGTGTCAATTTGCAAATTCTGGAAAAGAACATGGATGGGTGGTGGAAAGCTTCGTAAGTGAAGTCGTCTTATTAGGGTTGTGAGCGAAATATTATAATTATTATTTTTTTTGTAATTCATAACTTTTTGTAAAACTTCTATTTTCAACCTTACGTATACTTTGTCATTTCTGGAAAAAAATACTAATAACAAATAAAAGTCATAGTTATAATGATAATGATAATAATAATTAATCGTTGATACCAGCAAGACATTCTAGCGCCTGTATTTCCATCTGAGTACTAAGGGATGTGACTAAAAATGGGTGCTGGTTTGGTACTTAGTTCAAAATACTCACTGTTTTCATCAGATACCTTGGAAGAGAAGGCTGGGTGCCCCAACTGTACCTCAGAAAGTTGGGCACTGAGCGAAGAGGTTCAAGAACAGCAAGACGAAAATCAAGGATTATTTCTAGAACTGAACTGAGGAGCCCCATAGAGGAAGAAGAAGACGTGATTCAAGGTACGAAACCCGCGATCCCATTATCGGAATGTGCATGACTTCAATTCAGAAATTCTTGTTCAGTGGAAACGGTTAATATGGACACCAAGGGAAGATGCCATGGTGTCTATATTATCCGGATGTTTGTATCAAGCCGATTAATTTTAGCGAAAAAATAAAAGCTTTTCGTCGGGACAAACGTGATTATCATTCGAAGCAAATTGTTCTTTCTTTTCATTGGCCGAGAGCCCACCACGTGACCTGCAAACAACTGACTACAAGTAATGGTCTTTCATGTGCAATGCTGTCCAACAGTGTTTGGCTGCAAATAATATTCTGCTCATGCGTAAAGCAAACCGTGCCTTTCTCCTTCTTGCGATCGGTCTTGCATGAAAATGGCAGATCGCTTCGCTTCCCAAGGATATTCATTAAAAAAACAAACTCGGTGATCGAATGATAAAACAATGATTCAACTCGGTTATCGCAAAATATCGTGATTTGTCAGTGTCTGTCTCGCAGATCAGGCAAATAATTGATCTGCTCGCCACAGACAAATCACCATATTTTGCTCAACCTCGTCCAATAATTGTTAATTGTCCGTTATATGCGGTTGGGTCCGTAGAGCGAGATACCCGCCACTGTTAGTACTAGTCTTGTGGTCAGTATTGAGTTCTCATTAAAAATGTCTTCTTGCATCAAATCACAATATATCGAGACGACTTACCCGCTTCAAAGGAAAGAAACGTCCATGATATCAGGCCACTACTATAAGCCATGTCTCACATCCCTGATTTGCTTTATGGTATTATCGTTGGTTTTGAATCAGTGGCGGATATAGGGTAACCAAACCTTATTCTTTGGCCAAAGTGAGCCCCGCAGGGTCAAGAAAATTATTTTTTAAGGCAGGCTCCCCTCTTATCTTAGGCACTGAATGAGCGGCGCCCCCACTTACTTAAAGATATTAATCCGCCACTGGGAATAGCGAGTCAATGTGAAACCTGTATCGAGCAGACAGCAAAGTATTAGAACGTTTTGAAAGTACCCCACTTTTTCGCCGTTTTGTGTAATTTCATAACAAGAATGTATTCTAAGGCGGACGCTGGCCAAGGCCCAACCTGTGAGTGTCCGCTTTTTCCAGGTTTCACTGCATATTTATGTAATAATGAATTGTAGTAATAAATTGTTGTCGTTTTGTTGATGTAGAAATACCAGAGGAAAAGACTGAGCCGTACAACACCAATAAAGAGGTTGGTAATATTTCATAACTATCTTATAAAAATTACCTGATTCGGGGTATTGAATGTTATTTGCCACCTCTTGCAGCTTTTAGTAATAACCCGACCAAATTTTGATGTCAAATGTTACGAAAAATTCATAAGGATCAGTATATTGACCTCAGCGTAATAGAGATTGAGTTCAATATGCACCGAAGAACATCATCCAATCTCATGAACCATATTTGTTTCTTGTAGGACAAGAGAATGTCTCTTCCAAGGAAGATATCGAAAAATGTTTTCTCTACAATGGGAAAAAAGGATCCAAAGGCAGTATCTTTTGCCAACGATAAAGAGGCTACAGAGGATGCATCCAGAAAGAAAACCATTGGCAATATGATTGAAATGAGTAACGCTTTCTTACAGCTGAATCAATCCGAAAAAAGGTCGTCCGACGCAAGTTCAGAAGAGAGGAAAAGAAAAACTTCTCAACCATCGCTGAAGAACTCCACAAGGCCTACTGTGGAACGTCGAGCAATAAGCGCTTTGGCTCTATCTACCCACCATATGGAAGGAACTGCTGGAAACCATGAAGCCGACTCTAAGGAGGATATAGAGGCAAAGAAATCCAAAAGTCGAAGTTTAGAGTCCCTACTCTCTAGGAACGCAGCTCAGAGTGCAGAATCAAAATGGAAACCTGAAAAAAGCAACACTTTGTCCTCGTCACTTTCTTGCTTACATGAAGTTCCCGAGTCAGACCACATTAAGATTGAAGAAGAATACAATACACAGCTTGAACCACCAAACCTCTCTAACGGACTTTCTACCTCGAGGGACGAGATTGCTGACGACATCGAGGCCACTGCAACTCTAGAAGAAGCAGAAGATAGTGACACTGGTTCGTGTGATATTTCGTCAGAAACCACTACACTTACTGATCTTATGGAATGCCTGGATGGATTCTGCAAGCAGCCTGTTGGTGATTATGTCTACTACAAGAAAACATCCATAGACGAAGATATAGCTAATTTTCATCCACCAAGAAGAAGCCCCCCTTCCCCATCCAATCTTTCTACTGGCTCTAACATCGACTCCCCAAGAATGGGACCTCCCTCAAGAAACCCTCCTTCCCCAAATACGTACCCTAGAGGCCAGAGACAGTCATCTGCGGAAGATGAGCAGCGTAAGAATCATACAATTCCAAAGTCCAACTTCGACCGAAAGATAATCTTCCAGAATTCTCTGGAAACAGAAACAGCGCAGGAACTTAATGAGCAAATTCAAGTTTGGTGTTCAAGTGACGAATCGGAATCCGATGAAGAGCAGTTATACTCAAATCGAATTATTCACCCCGACTCTCCTAATTCACCAGCGATTGTGATCGACGAGTTGCCCGACCAGCTCACTGACAAAGAAAGACTTTCTACCTTAAGGGATGATGACGCGCGGTCAACAGAGAGTTTTGAAATTGAAGTCAACCTACAAAGTAACACCGTGTTCCCACGTGACGAGGACAGTTCAACTGATCTCTACTACACAACTGATTCACACGAAGTTGATGCAGAGATTTACCTCAACAAGGGTGATTTTGTCACGGTCATTGAAAAGGCGTCTACAGGTTATTGGCTGATACAGAATAAGCACGGTTTGCGTGGCTGGTCTTTTTCAGGACACTTTGTCCCTGTTCATCAGGTTGACCCAAATGAGGAAAGCAATTCACCAGAAGAGGAAGACAGAGGAAAAGAGGATGACGATGAACACGATCAACAAATGTTTTGTCGTGTGATTTGTGACTATGAAGCTGACGACGATAGCGAAGAGATAGACATCTACGAGGGAGATGTCATGGAAATAATTTTCAGAAATGAGAGTGGATGGTGGTGTGTGCGTAATAACACGACTGGAGAAATTGGCTGGGCTCCTTCAAACTACTTAGAAATGGTCGGCAGCGAAGAATCTTATGACGCTGATTAATTAGCTTGTGCAAAAAAGTCGAATTTAGCCCTACTATACATCATAAACCACGGAAAGAACAAAAGTCGTCGAGATGTCAAATCCCATTTTACCTCGAAAGCACATTAATCGTTACCCAATGCTACAAAAAAAAAGAGCATTAGTTTTGAGTCAATAGCAAGTGCAGTTATATGATTGAGTAATAACATATTGTCTGATCAAGCTGTTTAGCTGATTTTTCTTGATATTTCATTCTTCCGTTAGCTGTGAAGGACTTAGTGTTAGACATAAGTCATTTTAGAACAGTACAAAATTGTTTTTTGAATTATCCGATACTATTATTCATAATCAATATTATAACCGTAGAAAAATTAGATGCAGTAATTATTTTTGCTTTATACCCGCCTTACTATAGCCAGGAATAATGCCAAAAACGTTTTAGCGCGTAGTTTTGTGTAGCAACACTATCGAATTTTTCTTTATTATTATAATACGTTCCCTTATTCTGACAGTTTATGTGATTAAAACCAAAGAAAATGTTGAGAAAAAAATAGTTTGGCCTTATACTCTTTTATCCCTAACGGTGAATTCCAGGGATACTTTTCAAACAGATAGAATCCCAGTCAAGGAAACCAGTCTGGGCATGCGTGGCTCAGGATATACTTGTCTCTAGAAGAGGCCATACTAAGGCAATGTTCACACTATACCGGATAACTTTTGCGCCTGCGCACACAAGAACAGCTGTAGCGGCGCGATTTCCGTAAAGGTGATGTTACACGGAACGATTCGCAACGACGATTTTTAGCGCAACACGGCGTTGCAATGTTAGAACAATGTTTTAACTGTTCGAAACAATGTCGCAACAATGTTGTTGCGACGCAGTGTTGCGCTAAATATCGTCGTTACGATTCGTCTCGTGTAACATCAGCTTATAAGGGAGCGATGCTGCGCGCGATCTCTCAAGTAGAGCTCAAATATCCGGGTCTTCATACTGTATACTGGATAGCTTTTCTTTTTTTTTCGACTGACTAACGGGAAAATTCTCCACTTTAGTGTAGCTTCAGTTTAAGCTACAATTCTTCCCTTAAATTCGCATATGTTGCGGATCACTTTTTTTTAAGAAAAAAATGCAAAAGAGCAGGGCCCGGCGTTACAAAACACTCAGCAGGGAATCATCACACTGACACACAAAACAACTACAAATGTTCATTCAGATAAACGCATTTCGGAAAAAAAACCTTAAGAAAGTAAAACCTTGATAATATAGGGGGTCACTAAGTCGAAATAAAGACCTTGACGTTTAAAAAAATTGGCTGAAGAAAACCGGTGCTAAAATCGAATTTTGTCAGAACTACAGACAACAAACTTCAGAAAATATATAATCAATATGCATGGAACAGCTTCATGGCCTCTTAATGTGACACAAGGAGCCAAAATTACGCTTTACACAGTCAGATTTTACAATTTTCCACAGCATAATCTACCCGGTAGAAATAAAAGTAAGAAAGTCTCTGAGGAATGTTCTAGAGCAAAGCGCGAAAAGTTTCACTAGCTTATGATTGTGTTTGACCTGTCAACGCTGTATTTCCTGCTATTTGATGAAGAACAGCGGCACTGTCATCACGTCGTTGTGATTACCGGGCTCTTTCCAGCTGTAACCAGAGTGGGGAAAGGCTCCTCTGTTTTTGGCGGGAAAATGTGGAGGCCCCAAGCATCGCCGGGAATTTTTCGTGAGATACAGCGCTTTGCATACAGCAGAATATGTAGCCTGTTACAGGCTCTCAGATAGTGGGGAAGACGCGAAAGAAAAAGGTACGCGGAAAGACCGCAGGGCGGGAAGTTTCCTCCCGCGTTTTACCTTTGTGTTTGCGCTTTCTCAATTCAGCGGACCCGACTAAGTCTCGGAGCCTGGAACAGGCTACAGAATATGCAATGATTTCCAAGCTTTCTGATCGGCTGTATTTTTATGGCTCGAGATATATACACTGTTGTAAAAGCTATCTACCTGGGTAATACAGTCGACTCCCGATAACTCGAACCTTCAAGGGAAATAAAAAAAGGTTCGAATTATCGGGAGTTCGAAGAAAATAGCCGAGAGTAAGGTAAAAACAGTTTTTACCGCACAGTGAACATTTTAATCACATTTAATATTAGAAATGTCAAGTGAAAATTAAAAGACACTTCGAGATTATAAATCAGAACGTAATGTAACCTGTAGCCTGTGACAATCGACATTAGCCTCCATTAGTAAACTATACTCCTACAACAAGTCAATAGGAAGTCCAAAATTCAATGTTTCGGACACCAGTAGACGGCTTTTTTCTCGACTTTTTAAGGGCTCAAAACATGGTTCGAGTTATCGAGGGTAAAATTATATAGAAAATGACCTGAGGGGAAACGAAAATTGATTCGAGTTAGCGGGAGTTCGAGTTATCGAGGGTTCGAGTTACCGAGGGTAAAATTACAATGAATGTATGACGGAAATCCAGGGGAAATCGATTTTGGTTCGAGTTAGCGCGAGGTTCGAGTTAGCGAGGGTTCGAGTTATCGGGAGTCGACTGTAATATATTAAGCTCCCCGTCCTGAAGCCCTAAGTGGGATCAAAATCTGCAATTTATACCTCCAATCAAGACAAGGAGCAGACACGTCGCTTTCCCACGGAGTCCCCCGGGAGTCAGGGACTCCAAAAAATTCTCTCCTGCTAATAACACAAGTTATTTTACAGCTGCAGCTTTTTCTGAAGGATTTTGAAGGTTATTTTTGAGATATTTCCTATCTTTTAAGCTCGTTTTTGTTTGCTTGAGCGGGACAAGATTACATTTTCAGAGATTTTCGTGTCTGGGAGGTAAAAGCTGACCTTCGCTTATTTGCGACTATCATGTTCCGCGATGTAATTAGCCTGTTCACAGACCCTCTATTTTCTCATAAAAGTCCGCCTAGCGCGAGTGATAAATATAAAAAAAGCTGGGAATTAAATGTCCGCTATCAACGTCTGTGTACAGGCTACAATGCAAATTGGTTTAGCCATAAAATTTTGCATTTTGTTTTTAATTTCTCTTGGGATTAACACTCTTGTGGCGAAAATACATTGCGTTATAGGATTTACCGGAAGCCGACAACGGTCTGACGCTAAGCGATTTGATAGTTTTACGTGAAACTGAAGAGGAATTGAATTGAAATATTGATTTGTCGTCAGCTTCCCGTAACAAATATAATTGCAAAAGCTAACGCGATGGCCCTTAATAACATTCAGGGGAAATGTCAAAAATCATCTGTGCATTCCAGACTTCCAGTTAAAGCTCAGATAACAATTTAAAAAATCGCAACAAGAATTCGAACACGCGACACGTACGCTGCAAATGAATCCTCCCAAATCAGATTAGTGAACAAAGTAAAGGATATTGCTTGGCAGCGTTTGATCACGCACTTATCACTTGTCACGATGTTAGTATAAACAAGTTACTTTGTACATGTTTCTGGTAAAGTATACACAGAATGTTCATGCGCAGGAGCTACACAGTAAGCAAGGTAGATTTAATTCGTAAATAATACGTTAATCTCGCGACTTTGCAGAGCTGTACGGACTAAGCCCATTGAAGGACCGGAACACTTTCCTACGTTTACTGACCATTTGCGCATGTCCACTTGAACTTCTAAGTTGTGGCTTTACAGACAGCCATTTATTTCAGTTATCTTCGCTTACTGGAAGAGAAAATTGCCATTTTTGTGCTGCAAGGTAGGCTAATTCACCCTGTTAAATTACTACAGTTATGCGCTCTATAGGGAGCTTTAGCAACGACGACGGCGACGGCAACGAGGACGTTAAGAAAGCAGTAGGTTTATTACGCAAAACAACAACTTTGCACGTGCATCACGCTTTTTTGTACATTTCTTTACCGTCCTTGCACGACTACGACGTGAAAATGCCTAATTGCAAGTATTATGGAGGACGTAAACGAGCGACGACAAATTCTTTTTCCCTCTCTAAAGTTGAGTGCGCTCCTCAAGAATACAACTCCAGGGAAATTCGCCTACATTTGCCATTTTCAGCAAATTGGAATAAACGCGACAATGTTTGGAAAACGGGAATTGCCGTTGTCGATGCTAAAGCTCCCTTATATTTCAACATAATTCCTACCCTTTATTTCAATGCGCTTTAAATAAACGTTTAGGTGTTGTACGTTTAAACGAAACTCTAAGTCGAAATCCTCCATTCAGTGAAAAACGTTGTTCGGTGGCGCTTATTTTGGCCATTCCCACATGAACAGACTTCTAGCTAGACTCTTTTGACGACTTCGTCTCATATTCGACCAAGGCTAAACCTAGTCACTGAATGTCCTTATTGTTTCCCTGCGTTTTAAGCCGAGCGAACAATCGACACATGTTTTTTTTTTTGGTATAAAGTTCAAGGAAAGAGGTTATTAACTCCAGTCTAGTATCGCCCACTTGACGCGAGTCGGCAAAAAAGGTTTTACAACCCGTATGGTTGGAAAGAATGTGTCGACTCGACAAGCAGAGTTTGTCTTTACTAAGAATTAATGCATCTTGGAAAAGCTACGAAATACTGTCGAGGACTAGGAGTGGAACACCGCCTGACACACATGTGAAAGGGCTGGCTGTTGCACCGCTGATGTAATATATTATTTTTCTTCTTTTACACATGTGTGCCGTATGGATAGACAAAATTGTAATTGAAGGCTTGTCGACTGAAAACTTGTATCACAGTATAAGGCATTAACTATTTATAAATCCTCTATATTACATATTTTTTCCACCAAAATTTGCACGAGTTATTGTTTTCAAATGTTCTTGGAAGTGCAGTCCATCCAGGAGTATAATTAAAAACAAAATTTGAAGGGCAAAGAGAGATTATTATGGGGGATTCGAAGATAGTGATAAATACAGCTCGTTATAAGTGGAAATGTTGTTTTAGCATTTAGTCTCAGAGTTGGTTCGTTCTTGCTTTGTTCGTAAAACTTTAATTCAATAATCCCAGCATTAGCGTTCTGGTAAAAAATAGTTTGTAGTAATAATAATAAGAAAAACAAATGTACGACACTATCACTATGACTCCATCATTTTCTAAAAGCTTGCAGTTAAGTGGACAAATTGTTGTAAAATCGGCAAATCTTATAACTGAAAAGTGAGCGATTCACCCCTTTTGGTTCAAAACGAATCTACAGGTCGCCATACAATGAAACCAGATCCTCCGTAATATACGTATTAGTAGACACATGGCAGTATCACTTTTCGCGCAGTAGTCTCTTTTTTAAGACCGTCAACTAAAAGGGGACGCAAGGTTACTGTCTCTTTTTATTTTGTGCGGCAAAACTTTGCTTCCGACGAGCAAAACAAAAACCAGAACAGCTGGAATGAACAGCTCTAATAATGTCAATTGCATTAATAGCCTGCGAAAACATCCGTTTCTCCTCGCTCTTCTCGCTGCTGGTGACGTTTCACGAGGAGGAACGTCTGCGACTCAGCGACAGAAATTCCATACTGATGACGCAAATCAATGTTTACATAATAAATCCGGTAGTCATGGGGTTCCAAACATAAATTTGTCCAATTCTGCGTGTCTTCTGGTCGATTTTGGTTAAGTGTTGTGTTCATCTGCCAACGAGCTCCAGCAAAACTCAAATGCTTTTTCTAGAGAAGACTATTTTCCAGAAATATTGACTGTTATGTTACAGATTCTTCGCGTTTACATTTGACCTTTGTGGCCTTTTGTCTTTTGTCTGTCATTCGTAAACAATAGCTAAAATAATGTAACTACTCCGTCGACCAATCAGCGCTTCTGACCGGATTCCGGACAGATTTTACGTCATCAGTATGGAATTTCTGTCGCTGAGTCGCAGACGTTCCTACTCGCGAAACGTCGCCAGCGGCGAAGAGCGATGAGAAACGGATGTTTTCGCAGGCTATTGCATTAAGTGAATACCACCCATTATAAGAAACATGCTTGACATGAACTTTCAAATTTCAGATTCTGGAACAATTACCTGTAATTAAATGTACACAAAAAATGAGTTTAGACTCGATTAATCACGGGAGTAAAACGGTATCCCCAAGGGAAACGCTCTCTCAGGCGAATCCGGACATTTTTGAAACCGTACATTTTTCCAGACGAGTCCTCCGGTGAGCAGTTTTAAAACAATGCAGTTTCGGTGACCGCATTCACTGCTTTCGTGTGTATACGGAGGATCAATTCGTGTAAAAACGTGTGCAGTTTCAAAAAAATCCGGATTCGTCAGGGTTAACGTATCCTTAAATCTGACCATGAAACAGACAACTTTATTCGAAGCCCGGGGGAGTACTGCCATATATGGGCTCTATAGGTATGTGCCGCTGTGAAGGGTATGTTTTTCAAGCAGTTTACTCTAGGATAGGGTATATAAATCAGAGCGTTTGGTTCTAGACTAGGGTATCATTTTTCAGGAAACTGATCAGTTGGTTGAAGATTTTATCTAGACCAGAGGGAAATCGGGAATTGCCACTCAAACATATTAAAAAATCAAATCGGCAAGTTAAAATTTACGCACCTCAACTTGTTTTGGCTAAACTGTGCAGTAGTTTCTGGAAAACAGCTACTCTAGGATAGGGGGGATTTGGGGAGTTTATTCTAGTAAAGGGTAGCAAAATTCAGCTGAACTAGCTCTAGTATAGGTTAAGGGTTCCAGGGTCCCAGCGGCACATCGCCACCCAAAAATTCCTAAAGTACCCCCCCGGGATTCGAAGAAGCTAACAAATCCGATAAGATGAGACATACGCTTTTCATTTTTGCGTAGGCGTCACAATCCACTGTTCCGCTTATGTGTTTTGTGTTCCTCTCTTCCTGTTTACCCGTCGTCCTGTAAGATTAAGAGGCACTTCCGGTGCCGATGAAAAATAAATAGATAGTTTGAATTACGACTAAACATTTCCCTGAGCTATTTTGAGTTGTTATGTTGCCTGTTACTGCCTATATCAACTTTTAGCTGGCGATGTGATAAAGTAATTATCAAGGTTAGTCGAGCAGCCTTAAAAGTTATGCAGTCATCTTCCTAGGTACGTCTAATAATTAGGTCAGAACACCAAATGCTTTATTTGCATGACTATAAAGGAATTACAGTATTGCAAAAGCTATTAGTCTAAATTTAAGTACTAATTCAACTAATTAGTACGTGCAAAACATTACAAAACGTTACAGTTCTCATTCATTCATTCATATTAATTTGGTTTTTAATTCAAAGCATTGCGAGATAAATGAAACTAATTGACAGTTAATTAAATAATGAGAAGAATTCAGAAGAAGAGATATTGAAGTATCGAGTGAGAGTGATTTGAAGTCAGGTATTTTAGTTTCTAGTTTGGAGAAAAATATGTCTCTGATCTGAGAATAAGCCTTACAATCTGGTAAGAAATGATTTTCATCTTCAATTTTTTCCGGGATTTTTTCGTATCTACCTAATAATTAGGAATATGGAAGCTTAAGGTATCTGAGGACCCGTTACACTCCCCGGGTATTAGTTCATGAGACAGGGGGCATCCAGCAGGAGGTGAGATGTATATACAGGTATTTAATATAAAGGAGAATCTGACTCCTCAATATGTTTCTCAGTACTAGGAATCTGGCTTACTTTAAAGTCAGGATTAGGAATCTCAGAGTGAAATTGACAGTGAGATTCTGCTGGACAGGGAATTGTAAATTGTTGAATAGTGCCAGTTCTCCTATGATGCAATACAGCTCAGCGAGTTTGAAAAAAAAGTTTTTATAGTATCAAAAATGGATTTAAACCGAAATTTCAACGCATCTCAAGGTTTCTTCTGTTATCATGTTACTTTAAGAAGCAAGATGTCATTCGGAGTTGCTTTCATCCTCTGCTTACGTAACATAACTCAAAGTAGTCCCACTTAGTTTATAATGGGTGTACAATTAATGACATAATAAGATGCAAACGGTAGAACACTTTCAGTCCTATAACATACGATTGAGAGAAAATAAACAAAGGAAATGTGGTGGTTGTGGTGAATGACGATTTCAAACTTCCTATGGTTCCTTTGTATAAGAGACAAAGACAGGGCAGACTTGATCATGACCCCTCTCTGTGGTTTTGGATTACTGAAATGACGCCTTGATGCCGGGTAAAATTAGTATTTTGCCTTAGTGTTAAGTTTTATCAGTTACCATTAGAAGTCCCGAACCCAGCTTAAAAGATGTTTAATAGCAATCTCTCTTGTTAATAACAGTTGATAATCAACAACAACTTAGAATAACGTGCCAGTACCTTTGGGCAATTTTATTGTATAAGAAACTGTCGGTGGAATAGACTATTTTGACCTTGATGGTTGACCGACGTTTTTGACAAAGGATACTAAAAACAGCAATATTGAACTAAGTATAAATGACATTAAAAAGACCTTAATTTGTATTCAGGTGCCGTTCAACATGGACAACAGAACTGTCAAAGAAGCATCGGTGGAGGGGATTCAGCGAAGAAGGACACCCAAAAAACATTTTGTAAGTTTTGCCTTTTAACAGAGTGTCGTGATACTACGTTATATATAAAGCCACATATATTCAAGCTACTGTGGTACATAAAGAACTTTAATTGCATGGGCAGGTTAATGATCAGTCAAACTATATGGGTTATTCATTTCAGACAATCTTGCACTTTCCTTCGTTAGTTAGTGCTGTGGATCTTTTTGTCAAAACTGGTCATCAAGTCTTTTGGTTTTGTTTAATAGTCAATCAAAACGCGTCGGCCAGAGCCAACGATGTACAATTTACGATGTTGGGATTCCGATCGCACGTTTTGGAGTCTATTAAGTCGAGCTTTCTTGCAACTCTCGTAAGAAAAGAAAGTGAATCAAGGCTTGCAAGTGTAATAGCAACTTCCTAGCTGTTTTGCAGATAGTTCATTATGGTGGCAGGCAAGACCACCCGTTGTCCATCTCGTTATTAAAACCAAAACTGTCTATTAAAAATTATGTAAACAACCCAAAAATATTCTACAGCTGCACTAGTGGTGGTGTCTGCCGACTATTCATGCAGAGAGCGAGAATCCGACTGCTATCTACATTTCAGGAGGAAACCAACACGGTTTTAAAATATTACCCAATAATGATTAAAGCGTTAAGGTGACTGGGTTGTCTCGACCCCCAAACACGTTTCTTAATATTTTCTTCCAGCAAAACTCACTTCTCCAATACTTTCGATTTCTGCCATATTTACACCTCCGGGTCACGCCAAAGTACTGACCCATGCGTTCTTGAAACTTCCTTAGGTGTTCTGTGTTAAGGTCACGTGGTCCGATGGAACTGTCAATTTGGTGTATCGAAGGTACAGCGAGTTCTTACACTTGCAGGTAAGCTATATCGCGCACAAGTCAGAAATTTGACTAAAAAGTCACCAATTTCATAGCTTTTTGAAGGACTCCTCAGTGGTACGTAGGGTAACTTGTGATTATCAAAGTTTGGATAAGTAGACACTTTTCACAAAGTCACCACGTACAGTGTGGTAAGAAAGAAAAACATTTATTTTCTGATTGGCTTTAATCTCCCAGTTAACTCTCCACACATAACTAGCTGGCGCTGATCAAATTTGGAAGATGCTTTAAGAACCATCATCGATGCCAGTCACTCAGACGTCAATGACGGCATAGTACAAATTATAACCAATAGATTGACATCATGCAAAGCAGAAAAGTAACTATTAATTAATGTAATTTGTTCTGAAATACTATATTTTCAGCATAGCAGGTTACTAAATTTTTGGGAGGGATGGGTGAGAGATTCCTGTTTACATGGTCTATGATGAGAAATTTGCAAACTGCTATTCTGGGGAACTGTGCAACTGTGGCAGGGATTTTTTAATATCAGACACACATGCCCAATTCCAACCCAAACCCCCCCCTCCCCCCCCCCCCCCCCCCCCTATCTCTTTTTCCCGCGCTTCAACATTAGGGAGCTTAAGAAACGACGACGGCAACGGCTACTTAAATGTCACTTTAAAAAAAGTGAAATCGCGCTGCTTCAACATTTATCGCGCTTATTCCATCTCGTTTAATTCGTCAAATGTTGCATGGCTGACTTTCTTTGGAGTTGAATTCTAAAGGATTGTATCAAAGTTCAGGAAAAGAAAAAGAAAATTGGTGTTTTGTGTTTCCGTCCTCGACAAAACGTGAAATTAGGCACTGTACAATGACGGCTAAGAAATGTACAAAAAAGCGTGATGCACATGCAAAGTTGTTATATTGCCAATCTTAAACAATTGGTTTTTTGCCGTTCTCGTTCAGATTTTGTCCTGGGACAGCTCTGCAATTGAGAAAACCCATTTACAATTCTGTAAACGCTATTTACAAGTACACAACAAGGCATCCAACATTACATGTAGAGCTGAACTCGGTAAATTCCCCATGAACTTTGACAATGGATGAAAAGATGCTAAACTCAGTACTTATTAACAAGCTTTTTGAAATGTAAAGATCAACATTCGATATTAGTTTTCACCAAAACCCTAATTTAAAGTTTCAATCTTCTTCAGTTTTGACCATCCGTGGCATCTGTTGTTTCTGTTATGTTGTTTACAAATGTTTTCTTAATTTAAATTTTGACTAATTTGGGTGAATTTTCATTATAGACCTTCATTATAGTAGAAAAAATAGCTCTTACTCTAATCTCATAAAGATGATTGACTACTACGATTTAAACTGTGACTTTTCCTGTGATTCATTGAATGACTGACTTGAAACTTAAACGGTATGTCGGCGTAACGAAAAATAAGTACGTCTCTTACTGGAACCAGACCCTTCAACAATCACAAAAACTCAGTTTTTACCTTACAATCAAAAAGGAACATAGCCCCTCGCCGTAACCAGTTTAGCAAGAAAAAACCCCTCAAGAAAAGCATTAGTTAAAATTAGAATAAGCAGTCATCAACTTAGAATTTGAACAGGTAGATACGAAAAGATGCCTCGCAATGAAAGGATATGTTCCTTTCGCCACATCAACAAAATTGAAGATGAAAATCATTTCTTACTAGATTGTAAGGACTATTCTAAGATTAGAGACGAATTTATCTCCAAACTAGAACTTAAAATACCTACCTTCAAATCACTTTCACACGATACTTTAATAGCTTATCTTGCGAATTCTTCTGATTATTTAATTGACTGTCAAATGGTTTTATTTATCTCGCAATGCTTTGAATTAAGAAACAAATTAATATCAATGAATGAATGAGATCTGTAATGTTTTTGAAATGTTTTACATTAATAAGTTGAATTAGAAGTTAAATTTAGACTAGTAGCTTTTGCAATATTGTAATACCTTTATTATGGTCATGCAAATTAAAGTTTTGTTGTTGTCGTTGCCGTCGGCGGCGTCGTTGCTTAAGCTCCCTATTGTATGAGGTGGCGGAGAGGGGGAATGGCAAAGTATTTTCCAAAAGGTAGCAATGTTTTATGAGGGCACCAAGAAAATTACAGATAATTACGAACCGCATTAAGTTACAATTAGTGCAAAACTTCGCCGCCCACGTATTAACAGATACTAAAAAGTTTGATCACATCTCGCCTGTTCTTTGGGAATTAGGGTGGACCTCCATCAAAGATCGGCTATTAGTTCGTGATACTACCCAAGTATAAAAAATTGTCAATGGCCTCGCTCCGTTGTACTTGAGTAGTAAACTCAGTAAGCGATCAGATACACACCACTACAACACGAGGAAAAGGGACAAACTAAATCTCCCTCTATGCAGAACAGTTACCGCGCAACAGTCATTTTACATCGCGCTGTAAGTGCCTGTAACTCTCTTACCGCACGCATTAGAAATCTCCCGTCACTATGTACCTTTAAGAGGAGCGTCAAACGCGAATTGCGGGGGAAGACGCCATACGTTAAATAGTTAATATTTGATTTAGCTTAGATCTCCAAAGAGTTAACGTAATTGTAGGCGCTTAGTTTAGGCTTTCAGTTTAGTACCAAGATTGTAGTCAATTTAAGCTTTTTCTTCTTATCCCCCCTTCTTTTTAGCATTTGTAAATTAACTTCAGAATAGCCCTTTGGGAGAGTTAATAGAAATTATTGTATTAATTAAAAAATTAATTTCCCAAGGACATTTGTTTAGGCTTGTAGATAAATGATGATATCAAAATGATGACATCAAATCCAAATTATTTCTTTTTAAGACCATTTTGTGCCAGGCGTTTCCTGATTTGCTTGGAAAGCCAAGGTCTAACCGCAAGAATTTCAGTCAACTGCCAGGTGAGTCTCAGCCATAAATTATTATTTTTCTTTCGTCAACATTATTTTATAACTCAATCTACCTTCTTACAACTAGATTAAAAAGGCTACCAAGTAATAGGGAAAAAAATCTAAAAACGTACTTGCAACAGCGGAAGCAAAAGCTACTTTACGTTACTTCTATATCTAGGAACTCCTGACCTTGGAAGTGATAATATTTGTAGGTTGAGCTTGAAAACTGTGGCCTCAACGGACCTGACAACAAGTTATTGAAATCACAAGGAGTTCTCTTTGATTTGATTCCACGTAACTTTATTGCATGGATGTCATGTGACGACCCTCTCCAGCTCATTCATTGCTAACCGTCGAGGGCTTCGATGGTTGTAATGTAGTGTGACCTATAAATATAGCCTTATACATGTAAAATTTAATGCACATTCTGTTTCACAATCGTCTTCTTTTACTTGTGAATTTGTGTAGATAAATACATGTATTAGAATCAGAGTAAATCGATGTAGTTAGACTAAATACTTAATAATGATGCTGGATGTCAAAATTTTTTTTCAAAAGAGGTTGGAGATAATTGGCATTTAAATTAAAGTTTGCGCGTCAGTACGTAGATGATTCAGAATACCTTCGCGGTAAACAAGGTTGTGAATTTGCATGTAATCAATAATTTTTATTGGATGATATCATTCAAACATATGATTAATACTAAAAAAAAAAATTCTTTTTTATGCATGCCTACTTTGTAGACTCATGCAAGAATATCGGGGAAACGTTGTTCAACCGAATGGAACAGCTCAACCTTTTTTTGAAGGTAAGCGAATGTTTTTGTGAAGTAACGATTATTTCCAGACACTCCTCTCTTTTCGTATCCACAGGAAATAGAAATTGAAACTTAACCAAAAGAGAGCCTGTGTTAGTGAGGCATAATCAAAGAGTCTAAGAACCAATCATTGTGCTGCCTTAGAAAAAAACAACTTAAAACGAGGTAACAAAGGACGGCTCTGCCAAATGGTGGGAATAAAGGGCTGTTACTGGCAGTTATGCATGAGATGCCGCAGCACGGACAATGAATTGCTGATGCAGAAACTGTCAGTGAGATGCTCCGGCACTATGGATGAGATGTCGCCCAACGGTTAATGAAAATCCACTGCAAAGTTTTGATAACTTGTACCTATTTGAATCATTTCCAGGATATCTTTGGATTCGAGAAAGTGACACAGTCTAAGCACATCAGAAGTTTTTTGAGGCCAAAAGGGGAAGACTTAGAATCGCAGGATCAGCTCCCGAGGTATGAAAAGCAAATACCGTATTTATTCGATTAACCGCCCTGGGCGCTTATTAAATTTTTGGACCTTGAGAGTGGGCGCTTATTCGAGATGGGCGCGTATTAAATTTTCACCATTTTCAGCAAGTGAAGTATGTTTATATTGCAACAAAACAATGAATGCTAACGCCAAGAGTAACAAAGCAAGGTTTCTGTAAAATACTCTGAAGAAATCTTCGTCCTCCGGGAAGTCTCTTATTAGAATTTATTCATTCATGTGGGTGGGGTGGGGGTGAGCGCTTATTTGAGTTTATTGGGAGGAGGAGGGGGTGGGCGCTTATTAACGTTTTCTGCCTTTAGGATGGACGCTTATTCGAGGTGGGCGCTAATTCGAGGTTGGGCGCTTATTCGAATAACTACGGTAACTTGTAAATACCTTTTTTCTAACTGAGTGTGAGTAGTAAGTTATGCAGTATACTGAGTAACGCCCATCTAGAGCCAGTCATAATTGGTCCCCTATGATCTCTTGCTCGCGTATGGTCAATTACCATGATAAAATGGTGCCTATCTCCCTTTCATTTTTAAGTTTGAAAATCCACCATCAATTTTGTACTGGCCATAATAATTGCTCTGCTCCCTTGCACACCAGACTTGCTTCACCGCCCCAAGCAATCACGGCTCTGGGGCCTATTTTGCGAAAGGCCTGGTAACTTGGGCCCGAAGGTAAATCTCAAAATCAAAAACCGCAGTGTCGAAGAGTGGCACAGTTCCTAGCTCACAAACCAGTCAAATCTGCAGCGCTGACCGACAGTTTCATTGTATCACTTTCAAAATTGTTGAAATTTTGATCTTAAATGCAAACACGGCAAACATAAAGCAGCTCAGTTCCGGGCCCGAAAAGTTACCTAGTTATCAAGCTTTAGGGAGTTTGGGCCCCCCTGGGGGTTAAGGGTTACAGGGCTAGAACTAGACAAGCTTTTTTTAATGTTTCTCGCATATTATGCTTCTGCAATTTTGTAGTAGCTATAGGCTATACAAGTTTATAGAGACAGATGATTAATTAATTGAGAAATAACTAAAGAGAAAAGGGGCGAAAAGAGTAAACCTAATACACTGCCCTAACAGATAGAAAAATATAAAAGATTTCCAATTTAGTGGATACTAGCCATTGGAAATTTCGTCATTCCATCGGAGTTAAAATGCTAGCAGCCATCTTGCTGCAGCGCTACCACGCGAATTTTTTATTTTTTTTCTGTATAATTTAACGTTTAGGAGGAAGAAGAAAAAAGGCAGAAGGAATGGGAATTTCTCAAAGACGATGAAGAAACGACTCGATTTTAGAAAGTCAAGTAGAATAGGTATGCCTCTGTTTGTTATTGATAGTTCTGTAATGAAGCCAAGGTCTGTGAAATTTTAAAATGACTTGGTTACCGTATATTCCAAAAATAAGCCTCCAGGCTTAACCCTTTTTATTCCCAAAAGTGATCGGCATCTAACTTCTCCTTAAAATATCAGTTCATTGTCCAGCAGAAAGGTGATGAGAATAGGGAAAGGTATAGCAACCAGAGGATGCACTTTTGATATAAAAACAAATTCTCTGAACTAATCTACAATGAAATGTATAGCAACCGGAAAGGGGCATTACTATAAATCAGATCTTGGAAGTAAAAGGGTTTAAGGCCATTTAATAAGGCTACACATTTGGAGGGGGCGTTTATCAACACAGATGGATTGATTAGGGGAGGGAAACTCCTTTGGGAGTATTGTTGGAGTTTAATGGATTGAGTGTTTAATGTGATAATTCGACCGATCAGAGTCAATCATTCACTAATTAACTAAGCAAATTTATAGCAGATATTGTACAATATTTTAGAAAACAATCGTAACAAACCTATCCTAAGAACCTCTTCAGGATGATTTCTCACTACATATCTTGTATCAGCTCAAAATAGAACTGACCACATGTTATATTATGAGGGTGATTTCTTCATATTGAAAATCGTACATACCAAAATTCAAGTTAAAAAGATGAAAACGACAGTGCTGCATGCGGTTTATGTTGAACGTGCCTATATTTAGCTTTTGGTTCGCAGATAGTAACTGAATAAGTTAATGAGACGTTTGTATGTTTCTTCGTCCCTCATTTTATTCAGCTTTGCACACCCAAAATAGCTATTCCATTTTGTAGTTAACGTTATCAACACAATTGACGTTAATATTGATATCGGCAAAAATCTTCAAAATTTGATTGACGTTAGCTGTCTGCTAGCAGGTAACTGAACAATCGGAGGGGGCGCTTATTTTTAAAATTTACTGTAGGCTTTGAACCAAGGAGGAAACAGATAATAATTACCATTTATTCTTCATTTGCAGTCTGCAACCACATAAGCTCACCTATAATCTTTGACCGCTTCATCGTCATGGACGACTATAAGAAACAAGCTAAGAGCGACATTAATTTGAAAAAAGGGAAAACAGTGGATGTTATCGAGAAGAGGGAATCTGGTGAGTGTTTCGTTGTAAAATACTCCAATTGCTATTGCTTTTTCAGTTTAATCCTCGTAAAATAAATTCACCAAGTAGAAACAAGCCTACGTAGTGTGGGAAACAAGAGTAACCCATGTAAGGCAGACCAAGACAGTCTTGGATGCTCCATTCCACGTTGTAAATTCTGGATTCCAGGTGGTGGATTCCGCATTCTTGTCAGTGGAGCTTGGATTCCGAATTCCAATCATTAGCCGGATCCCGGATGATTCCTTGAGATGGATTACAGATTCCAAAGCCTAGGATCCCGGATTCCACAATCATAGATTTGCTGCATTCTGGATTCCACAAGCAAAGATTTTTCAAATTCCGAAATCTTGCATGGATTACTTTACAAGGAGCGATGCATCAAATTCAGTGCGCGACTAAAAACAAATCTAGATCTTAGAAATGCGTTGTGAATTTACATGAAATGGTTGTTTACTTGATGACCTACTTTAAAGCAGTTTGAGGCCTGACGGAAATCTCTAAGTAAGGCCTAAGGATATGAAATTGTTGGGGTTTGGTTTAAATACACCTGTCTGATTTCGTTAAAACGTGGCCACTGGGTTTTCGCCTGGCGCCTGGCGCCCGGCGCAGCCCGGCTCCAGGCCAGCCCGGTGCCCAAAAATATAGGGGGCTTGACGTCTTGGTCGGTACAGCTGGATAGCCCAGGGACTGCCCTAACAGTGGGTGGATGGATCAGGCCTTGGGGTCAAAACTAGTGGGGTAGGGAGGGGGCTGTTTTGACACAACCCCTTCAGTAAGCAGCAGTGTTCAGTGCAGGCTTTGACTGGCGAGTACCTTGGTCTTAATTTGCCCTAGCCAGCTGAATCGGGCCTCTGCTAAGAATGATTATTATGATAATTGCAGAGCTCAGTGAGAGGTGCAGACAGTCACCCATTGTCCTGGGTGGGGAGGGTTAAAGTCTTGGTACCAAGGACCCACTTAGCATAGGACCTTTAGACACTCACTGAAGCCATGTTTTCATAAATCCAGTCAGACATAAATACATACATACATACTTTATTGTTACTTCCCCCAAGGGGCTTTCGGGAACAATGATTATCAAAAGCATTACATAATTTTAATAACTAATTACAACACTCAACTTAATACTAATTACAAAGCTAGCTAGTTACTCAGGGGCACCCTACGAGAAAATAGTTCAAAAGCACTTAAACATAGCATTGTTGAACGTATTTTAGTATTTGAACGGTAGATATAGGCATACTTTTTAACCCCTAAAACCCTCATCTGTTCGGATTTCCTAGCTGAAAGTCTAGTGATCCGAAAATTATAGGCATCAAAACTTAGCTATTCGAAAATTTCAGCCAGAAAGAAGGCTCCCGAAAATTCTAGGTGACCTTTTTAGGGTAAAAGTCCGTTAAAAATGGGCAATTACACAAAATTTTAGATGTTCGAAAATGCTAGGAGAGGCAGGTAAGCAAGAAATTTTGCAACAAGTGTTCCGAAAATTCTAAATTTCAAATCGTTTTCCGAACAGATATTTTTCGAAAATTGACGTTGGGAGCCCCTGATTACTAATCACAATGTTTTTAAACTTAACTAAGAAGTATTTACAAAACTATCAAAAAGGTTAGGTGTAGACCTTTTGTCCTCTTTGGTTCAAAGCGAGGCTCTCTGTTAGTGCTCCGAAACCGCGATGCATTTCAGTAAAAAGCGATATTTACTGTATTCTACATCGTCATAGACTTCGTCGTCATAGGCGTCGCCTCCAGGTCTTGAGACATTCAATCCTGGCTCAAATTGGTGGAAGGCGAGAACGCTTCTCACTGCGCTACCCATTCCCCCAAAAATATTGGCATAATAAGAATATTGAAGTATGAATAGCAGTAGTCAAATGTCTGTGTTACGCTGCCAGTTATCTGTTCTCTATTACCTCATATTACCATGCGTAGAACTGGTGTAATTATACTGAACTTCAAACGCTTTATCGTTTTTTACAAGCTTACTAGGACTGATAAAATCAAAACAAAAAATAAGGACCTATCTAAGTTTCTTTGGTCGTTATGGAAGGAATTAACACTGGGGTGAAGCAAGAGAGGATGAAATTATCCTGAAGAAGGTTTCTCCATTCCGTGTATTTCAAATCACAATCCCTCAGCCGCCTCAGCTAGTCCAGGCAACAGAGGAGTCCCCGAAGTCATTGAAAAAGAAAGATTCTTTTGATTTGACTTTACAGGTTGGTGGCTGGTAGATGCTGATGGTGAAGTGGGTTGGGCTCCATCTCTGTATCTCGAACCAGCAGACGAAATGTCGGACACTGAAGTATCAAACGTACAAAGATTCCCTATTAGCAAGGGTACGTTACACAGAGTCATATTACCAACTGAAATTTGTGATACAAAGTAAGATTTGTGATACTAAAAAAACGGAGGTTCATAAACATCGTACACGTTTGCTTTCCAATTGGCATGGTGTTTATCGTATCCCTACTGAGGCAATAATCATAACCAATATTTGTTTGATGGTTAAATACCTGGTTTGGATAACAGGAAAAAAAAAGGGTGCTTTTTGTTTTGTTGAAAGATAGTCTTTCTTCAATCTTTTGCTGCAACACTAAGACTTGCAAAGCCTTTCATTTTCTATTCAAGGACTTTCTATCTCTTTTTTACTGGAAAATAATATTTCATCCATAAAAACTTCACTACGAAAGATTCATCTCACTGAAAAACTAAAACGCAGGGAAACTGGCAAAAAAAAAGCGTATACCGCACTGAACGAAAAGACATTAATTACAGCTTGTGATTGTACGAATGATCTTTCTCAAAAAATGAAAAACGCAGTTCGCGCCTCTGATTGGCTGGATATCGTTTGCACACAGAAGTTTACAATATAGCTTGCCAGTGCCTATACCTCTGTCAGTAACAAAAAACATAATATACATACAAATGCATTTCTTTGGTAGGGGGTAACCCTCATCTGTGAATTATAAGAAAATATACTGCTCCGTCGCCGTTCGGTAACCAATTGACGTTGGTAACAAAAAAAAACCCGTAGAAATGAAAAATTTGTCAATTCATTGCAAACTTATTACTTTTTGGGCCGTAGATCTTTTATAGATCCGATACAATTCTTGCATGGTTAGTCCATGTTTTTGTGTCAAAGTATGAGTTGTATCACGAGGTATGGTTGATGGTATTATACTCTGGTTATTGGTCTTCTTGGTGAGAGTTCTGGGCGATGTTATTGGTCGTATTTTCATCAGAGCCGTGATGTTGTTGGCCATACTGAAGAGCCCCAAAAATCAGAAAACTGTCAAACTTCAAAAGTCTGTTTTCAGTTTTTTCGTCGTGTTGATGTCTTGCAAGTTAATTTTCACGTAGTCGATCAGAATAGGACTGTTGTCGTTGCAAACTGTTAAGGTTACAATTTTCAGTCTTTGTATAAAGACTGATAACTTGCGAATATGCCAGTCATTTACTCAACTTTTCGAAGTTTACTAAAGACAAATAATTAGAAGTCTTTGTTTTTGATGAACTCATAGTGTTCTTAAATTCACCTTATTTTGCACTTAGTTTGTATGTGACGGTAATTTTCCCTATTACACACAACAGGAGAGGTATACGTGACAACGAAACGATATGTTGCTGTAGAAGATGATGAGTTGACGTTTGATATTGGTGTCAATCTGCAAATTCTGGAAAAGAACTTTGACGGATGGTGGAAAGCTTCGTAAGTAGTGCCCAATCTAATATACGCTTGTTTTCCTACAGTAGATAGAGGCAAAGGCTTTTGTCTTGCAAATAGCCTAAAACATTCTAGACACTCAGCACCTGTTGCTACAAAAGTATATCATTAATATATCGGTACCTGAACTTGCCGAGACTGCCAAACTCTGTACGAGTCATTCGCCAGGGTACTTCGCCTCTTTTAGAGTCTAAAACAGATGAGAAAAAATGAAAGATGAGGTATGCTTTATCAAATTAAAGATCAAAGAATATTGATTTAATAAGCTAGCCATAATGATTTTGATACTACCTATTTTAATTCGAGAACGGGGTTGTTAATGTTGAACGCATGGATCTAAAGCCAAGTTAGCAGAATCACCGAAAGCTAATAATCAACAAGACGATAATCATTTCCCCTTTACTTACTTACTTACTTACTTACTTACTTACTTACTTACTTACTTACTTAGAACTGATAACAGTACTGACAATAATAATGAGACTATTATGAACAGGCGTTTATCCCCGGGGAGGGTGGTACTTCCTACCATGGCTTATAAGGGGGTTTAGGCCTTTGGCTTCAGGTATATGAAAGGGTAGGGATTTCGCTAGTTGAAGCGTATGAAGGGAAGGGAAATCTGTCATTTCAGTCTGTAATAAGGCCCAAAAAGGATAACAGATGCATTTTACGACTCTGAAAAAGTCGAGAAAACATTCTGGTTTTTTTGTATAATCAGTAACCGGTCAGCGGTCGTCGATCATGGCGGGAGCAAAATTTTCTAATGCGATCAAATTTCTTGTCGTAGCATTGTTTTTCCGCCTCAAACTAAATAATTTTGGTATATCATCTTCCCTGAAGGCGTCCAATCTACCGACTGGTCCGCTTTAGTAAGCTTAACTAAACCAACGTCCATAGGTTTAAAGGCCTACCGAGCTTGTCCACGAAGTAGCCAAGCCGGCGCCATCTTGGATTCAAACTCTGAACTTAGTTCTCCTCGTCAACTGCTACTCAGTCTACTCTTACTTGCTTGTGATGTTAGTTCAAATCCAGGGCCTCAATGGAAGTCTCCTTGTGGGCTTTGCTCTAAACCAGTTAAGCGAAATCAACGAGGCATTCAGTGTGACAACTGGGATCGATGGTTTCATACTCGTTGCTGCATTATTGGCGACCAAACTTATGAAACCCTCGGAACCTCATCATGTGTATGGATATGCTGTGACTGTAACACTGCCAACTACTCATCTGTACCATGTAATTCTTTGCTGAACTCATATAATTCACCTGGATTTTATTCTCCACTTGCAAGTCAGGCTGAAAGCACTCTACATACTAACAAAGAGTAGTATACGAAGGGGAAATGTCCTCATGGGTTCCAGTATCAAGCGGCGTACCTCAAGGATCCGTGATTGGACCCACACTATTTTTAGTTTATATAAATGATCTCCCAACTAAATTACAGTCCAAAGTTCGACTATTTGCAGACGATACTATTGTGTATATGGCTGTAAATAACGAAACCGATGCTGCCATCTTACAAAAAGATCTCAAACTTCTTGAAGAATGGGAAAATAGATCACAGATGTCTTTCCACCCGGACAAGTCTAATGTGCTACGAGTCACAAGGTGCAGGAGCCCCCTCAACCATGATTACATCCTACACAACCAGATCTTTAA